GAAGGAATTACAGTAGCAGTTTCCCAGTATATTTCAAGCTAGACTGTTCAGATGGATTAAAAGATAGATCAGTTGTCCTGACTGAATTAAAGGCTGCTCTTGTCCTAAACTGTCACTATCTGAAAGCTATGATGTATTTTTTTGGCTAGGAAAAAATGGCTTGATCAATACTGCTAAGCTATGATGTCATTTTTTATTGACTAATGCAATAAATCATAGATAGAATGATGATCTTATACATTGCTAGCCATTTAAACAGATCTGATGTTACACTATGTAGTTAAAAACAGCATCTTGATGCTTTCAAGGACTGCCAATAAAAATCTTTTCTTTATAGTACTAACACTGCATGTGGTTTTTCTTTTACTCTCTGAACACTCCGGTCTCCATTTTTGTGACATGGATGCAGCTCATCTCCGAAATGTAACAAAATATACATTCTTATGTTTCAGAAAAGGATGTGGAACTCCCCTGACCATTGTCTCTGCTGGTTGGGGCTGATGTGGTTTGGAGTCCAGCAACATATATGGAAATGATTGAGATGAAAATGACTGGAAAAATCACTCTCGCTACAGAGGGACAGTGAGTAGTGTGTCTTGACACACGTCAGCCACAAGTAGTGGTGGTTGTGCCTTCCTCCAGGGACAACAAATTGCCTGCCCCAGAATTGGCAGGCTTTTGGGGGCCCTTGGGTTAGAGAGCCTTCATGGGCCCCTCCATCTCACTGCCTCCTTCACCAGCTGCAATCTTTTCTCCCCTCTTCCATATCATTGCTCCCACTTAGTGGCTTTGTGTAGAGAGCCATGGAACAAGTCCTTCTTGAACCAGTGACGTCCTCCGAGTGGTAGCAGCGCCCACCCAGTGGCAAAAAAAACACGCTCTCCTGTGCAGTTCGGGAGGCAGGGAACATGCCATCTTGCAAAAAGCTCCTGAAGCACACTTGTTCACCCAGACTTTCCCTTTCTTGTGAAGAGCCATGCCATTCCACATTACTTCTATTACTATTGTGAATGCCATTGGAATTATTTTGATAATTCGATTTTACACATGGTTTTATTAATATTTGAAATACTATTTCAATATTTATATGTAAACCACTTAAAGTTTTTTTAATAAAACTTGGTAGTATGGAATGGTGCGAAATAAATCAGTGGTACTGCTCCTTGTTCTTTCCACTGCTGTTTTCTGGGCTACAGCAAGAGGCAGGTGGGCAAGCAAGTTGCACTAGTGAAGAGGAGTAGGCCCAAGGGACCGGCCTTTCGTGCGTGGTCCGGCCTTCTCCTTACAAAGAAGCACTTTCAGTGGTACCACTGTGCTGCACAGAGGAAGACGAACAGCACCAGGCCGGGCTTAGGCGATTGCAGCAGCGAGAGACTGCCGGTCATGTTGGAGCTGAAGCTTGGATAGGGGAAGGTGCAATTTTAAAGAGCCATTTGATAACTGGTAGGTTTTATGTTATTTTAACCTTTGTAAATCCATAGTTCCTGAAAATCTGGATGTCTAGTTCCATAGCCATGAACACATGTGACCAGCATCTGTCCTTTTTTTTTTCCCCTTAAGTGATAACATTGATTAGAAAGAGAAAGGGGAAAGAAGCCTTTTAATGCTACAAACACTTCTTTTTTAAATGAGACACAAACTGCATAACTCAAGCTTTTTAAAAATGCAGATTACCAGACTGATAAACCCTTTGATGAATTTAGGTGCACAAAGAGAGCGACTAAGTCTAATCCTTAATATTGGAGATAATGTTTAAACAAATGTATTTGATTCAATGAGACACCTGGACATGCTTATTTAATTCACCCTTGCATCTAATTAGCTTTGCTGAAGGGACAGTTACTATATTTCATGCTATGGTCTTTTCTCTTTCAGGTTAATCCTTTTAGGACTCTCAAAAGAAGCACAGATGAAAATAGGAAAAAGGCACGTTAATTAACCTGGACCTCTGGATATCCTTTTCTGAGGTACTATGGAATACTGCCAATACACCACCCTTTCTAAAATCTGGGCTGCATACTTGAATAATAAATATGCAAATATCCTGTGCTCCAAGAAAGAATATCATGCTGATGTTGTCATACAAAACAAAGCTCTAAAGTCTTAGTATCTTCAAAGATTTCATGGATTCGCAATGAAGGGCCCAGTTCAAAGATTTGCAAATGTCACAAGGTTCCAAAATTACAAGCAGGACTGCATTCTCAGCCCCAAGAATAACTCAGTTGGGGTAGAAGCAGGGGGAAGTGGGAATTTGGATGAAGTTTGATATCAGACTTGCTCCATATGGGAGTTATGAATGAACTGTCTCGTGATGCTGCTTGACTGTGAGGCAGAGGGTTGCGCTGACAGAAGAATCTCCTAGTAAATCCAGATCCAAAGGAAACAGATGCCCAGAGTAATAGATGCACACAGCCTTTATGTTGGAGCTGAGCATTTAGGCTTTTGCAATAGCTTTCTTTGAATGCAATAGTTTTAGTTCCAATCATGTTGAATTGTGTTAATATGCTATTTTTTTGCAGCCCCCTCCACCCAGAGAGACTTGTAGAAAGAGATCTTTCTATCTTTAGATATCTTTAGATAGATATAATTTAGATATATATTTATATATAATTACATATAAATATATTGATATGTATATAAATTTAGATATATTTATATAAAAATATAATTTAGATATAAAGGGTATCTGTGGTTAACTGAGGCAATGTTTTTACTCTGGTCTGTGAAATTGTACTTAAAATCTCTTCTGATCTGATATGGGTGTCACTGATGTGGAAGTACCAGAGGCACAGGCAATATGGCTGGATGATCCGCTTTCCTCTTCCAAGCGTGCAGCAGACTACTGTGCTTCTCGACAATGTAGATCCATGTGCCACCTTCCATTTGTGTACAGATCTTGGTCAGTAGTTCCAGGAGTCTCTCTTATCACTGTCTCTAACAGTGAAGTTAGGTGGTACGAAAGTAATGAGAGAAATGAAGCCACAATGGGGCCAGTAAGAAACAGAAGATGACAAGATGGTGAAATTTGCAGAACTACAAGTGAACTCCAAAACTCCTTTATAAAAATGTTCAAGTTAATCTGCCAGCATTCAGATTCACAGATGTTTTCCCTGCAGAAGAACAAATTTGCCCCCACTCTTCTTTTCTCTGCTTCTACCATATTCTAGAATTAGGGTGCTGGCTTCTATTCTTAGTACAAAAGTGATGTTGCACTGAAAAAGAATTGCAGATTTGGCACCTCTGTGTGCAACAACATGTAGCTAGTACAGCGCCTTGCACTAAGATGACTGCGGTTAGATAAGGTTGTGAGGAAAGTCCATCCTGCTTGTGGTATAATACTGATATAACAGTGACTGTCCAGCCAGGCTGAAATGCCTCTAGGATGGTACACAGATGAACAGTCCCTCATCCTAAATCCTCCAGTAAACCCTGGAATGGCTCTGATGGGTCCTTTTTCTGGTGATGTAACTTCTTTTCTGTTGATGTAGCTAATACAGCTCAGTCTTAAAATGGATAGAACAAAAGAGAAGTGGGGGCACAGGAGGCTCAATAGAGAGATAAGCACAATCAATATGGTAGCAGTCCAGATGGCATGCTAATTTAGGCTTTAATATTTTATGCTGTGTTGCGGCCAATTATTTTAAAACAGAAGTTGGCCAAATCTTGGAATCCGTACTGCTGACTACTTCTGACATCTGTGGCATCCTCCTCAAATAAATGCCAGAGTAAAGGAGAATTATGTCATTTGGGGAGCAATCCAATTTATTCATTTCTATAGCACCCCCACAGCCAAAGCTCTCTGAGGGGCATACACAGTGCATGAACACAGGTAAAAAAATCATAAATTCAGAAAAAATATTTAAAAGCTTAAAATAGCTAAAAACAGATGATAAAAATAGAAAATAGCAAGAAATTACAACAACACAGTTTCTCCAGTGTGTAGCTTCTTTGGTGTAATGTAGGATGATTAAGAACATAAGCATAGACATTGTAATGTAGGATGATTAAGAACATAAGCATAGACATGTGGGATCAGACCAATAGTCCATCTACGCTAGCCCTCTGTTCACAGTGCCAAACCAACTGGCCATAGGATCCCTCAAGCAGGTTGGGTGCAACCTCTCTGCCTGCCCAAGCTCCTCAGCCACTGGTGTATGCAGGCCCACTGCCTATGGATGTTAAAGCAGGAATAAAGGGCCCACAACTCCCAGATAATATAGGAGTACACCTGGACAGCCATCTGAGTAGGATGGTGTAAACTGGTGTCCTGCAACAGAAGGGGGTTGGACCCGATGGCCTTCTTGGTCCCTTGCAACTCTACTATTCTATGATTCTGTGTAATATGAGGCAATGAAGATAATTAAACAGAAACACCTCTCCCTCCAAGGTTCCTCCTCCTGCCATCACCACTGGCAGCTATTCCAACAGGCTGTGTTCAGAGGGAAAAGGGAAGGAAGGGCACTCCACCAGCCAGCAGATGAGTGCCTCTGGGAGCCTTGCGGGCTCCATGGACGGGTAACAATCCTTCAAAGGTACACCCCTATGCAAGCTCAGGCAGCAAGAAAGCCTACCATTCCCAGAATGCCCTGGCCAGCATGCTGGGATCTGTAGGCTTTTTTTCTATTAAAGCTGCATAGGACTGCACCCTTCAGCAAGAAATGGCAGGTGGATTAATAGAAAATCCTTTCTGCCCATGCCGGGAAAGGGTCTTGGACTACAAAAATACTTGCGCACGAACATTGTTTTACTGGTCCCGGGAAGTTCCAAGATGAAATAAAATGAAAGGAATTCTTTGTGCGATGAAAGAGAGAAGGGCAAAGGAACAGAAGAAAGCGAAGTAACGAAGGGTCGAAGGGAAGGGGGGTCAGGAGGGCGGGAAGCGGAGAGAAAGGAGCGAGACGGGGGAAGCTGCAGCATGCGGGTGTGCAGGAGGAAACGGCTGGGCGCCGAGGGAGACGGAGGCAGGAGTCGAGGCGGCCGGCCGAGCAGGAGCCGCTGGGATGGCTGCAGCCGGGGCCGCGCCGGGAGCCCTGGGGCGGCGCGCGTGGCTGCTCCTCTTCCTGGCCTCGGCGGGGGGCGCGCTCGTGGCGCGCGCGCTGCCCTCCAAGGTGGCGCGAGGCGTCGCCGTCCCGTTCGTCTTCGACCCGCACGCTGTCTGCGGCGCGCCTTGCCAGAACGGAGCCCTCTGCATCCGGAACGGCACCTGCTTCTGCCCCAAGGGCTACGAGGGCGAGCGCTGCCAGTATGGTTGGTATCCTGCAGAGACGGGCACGTGGCGCGCCCGCCTCCTGCCGCGCGATGGCTTGGCGGCGGTGATCCGCTCCCCGCGCGGGGCGCCTTCAGGGCTGATCTGTAGCGCAGGCGCTCTTTTTGCGTCGGCCCGTCGCCGCGGGCTCTTTCTGGAGGGATCGATCGCCCGCTGTGCTGGTAACGCAGGATCGGGCCCTTGCATGGATGACCAGGCGCGAAAAGGAATCGTCACGTTGCTTAAAGTCCCCCCCCCCCCGCGCCACCTTCTTGGAGGTGCTCCTGGTATCTTTGCTTCGGAGTAGGGCAACGATCCCATGCACAATTGCGATCCCCATGTGATTTTAGGGGATTTACTTCCAAGTAAAGCTGTGGTCCTTTGCACATTCATGTGTATGGTCCGTATTGTCTGCTAAATGTAGGAAAGGGAGTTCATGCATATTTAGGATCTCAGCTTTACGATAGTACTTCTTACTCAAACATCCCAGTGATTTCTCTCACACGTGATTCTTTTAGAATTGCTGCCTGCATACCGACACAGAAAAGGGCTCCGACAACTCGGGATTCCCTCGTCGTCATGGATAAGGAATGCTGACGGTTGCACTGAGAAGTGTAGATAATAACCTTATATTTAGGGTCCACCTTTCTTCCTCTTACAAGAGACTTGGTTGTGTTTACACATGTATAGGATTGTGCCCCAAGGAGAATCTTTCCAAGTAAATGCAGGGAGTCACTTTGTAAGTTCCCTGCCCCAGCGTATTTCTCTTTGATGGGCGGCCAAATAGCAGTTTGGAATTTAAAAATGAGGTGGGGAATCCGAAATCTACAGTTAGGCAACAGCTTTATTAGAAATCACCAAAAGGCCACAAAGATTGCACAAGATTTGTGGAACTTTGCTTGTTTCTATGGAAGGTATTGTCTAATTGGATTTTGAATTCTGCCCTCTCCCTTAGATTTTGGATTTTTTAAAATTCATGGGCCAGTGTGGCTTTCATTGCTTTTGATGTGCTGGTATTTGTCAACACTGCTTTCAGTGGTGTCTCTTACTCCCAAGTAAGTGTCTATAGGAACAGAGAACAAAGGAAGTAACCCCCCCCCCCTTATTTTCTTATTGAAACCAAGATCAGGATGCACTGGCTGCAAGTTCTATTGACATCAGAACTTGGTCATTCCTCTGTTAAGGATGCAAGTAACAGACTCTGTTTTGGATTCCTTAGTTGCTAAGAAAATATGCTTCGAGAAAGAGAGAGAGGCATTTGGAATGGGAGAGGAGAATTTGGTCCTATTTATGTTACTTCTTAAAACCATGTATTGGGGAAACAAGAACCCATGGAAGACAAAAGGCTTCTTCGGGACTGTTGTTCAGTTGCTCTTTTAACATGAGAAGAGATAGTGTGTGTGTCAAGAGGAAAAGTATTCCACAGTTATAGGATGGTAGAGTGAAAAAATACAGGTGAGGCAAAAATAGAATGGTGGATTTATGAAGTAAGAAACTTAGAAACAGAGCGAGTCAGAAGGGGCATCTCAAGCCATCTAGTCTGATCTCCAGCCAGCTCTGCTCATGTGGTTGCCCAAGGTTGCCAGAAGGATAAAAGACGTGTCCAAGAAAATAAAGGTAATTGAGAGAAGGGATATAGATGAGGAGAAATGGAAACACTAGACGTTCACCCTAGGGTAGCACTTTGGAGAGAGCACTGCTTGTTTTGGACTCCAGCAAGCAGAGGCTTGCTTCCAAGTGGAGGGAAGTGAGGTGGGCTTCCTGTGTTTCTTTCAGTCATGAAGCAATGACAGAGGTACAGAAACCTGATGGCAAGTTCCAAGGATGTGAGTCACGGAAGGCTATTGACAATGGATCCTGGCCTCAGTAGAGGGTTAATGAGAAGACCAGTCAGGACTGAGTACAGGGAAGCTGCCCCTTTCCAGAACTGTTCAGTCTGTGCTTTTTAGTAAAAGTAAGACTCCAGTCCAGAGTCCAAAGTAGGCAAACTTTTTTGGTCCGTGGGCACATTTGGCCATGAACCTGTCCTGATCAACACAAAATGGCTGCTACCTGCTATCTTTATTTGCCCAGAATATCTCTGGGTCCCACCATGAGGCATTCATGGGAAAAGAAGATAAAGTATCTGGAGGTTCTCACTTTGTTTTGAATCTGTCCTAGTGGCCAGTTAGAAAATGTAAGAGAAAAAAAAGAGGGAGGTGGGATACCTTAGGGGGCATCAAGAAAGGTGCCCAGGGGTGTAATGGTGCTTGTGCAAACTGTGCTACTCCACTGGAGCCTTTTACTTGCTGAGATAGAAGGAAAAGTTCACCTGCAGCAATCTCTCTAGCAGTTCCTGAAGCAGAAAAGCTCTCCTGTCTTCCATCCAGGGAGGGTAAAGATGTTGGGATAATAAGCAAACAGCCTCTGTTTTTAATATTTTGACACTTGCATTTATAGTCTTGCCTTTCTACAATGATTCACCCTCCCACTAAGGCTCCCAAACCACCAACTTCCTTGACTTGGATGTGGGAGACTCGAAGAATATCCAGAGATGGCCTTATACAATTAGAATTTGAGGCGAAGCAGAGGAATAAGGCCCGTCTAGCCCCAAAACTCCAACAGCTATGGGAGCTGTGTTGAAATGTTGCCCACCATGCCTTAATGCTCATTAGTTTGTTTTGACATTCATCCCACAACATTCTATGATTAGAATCATTTTCGGGTTGGCTTACGAAGTCAAATTACACATCAGAACAAAATGAGGGGAATCCCAGTGTTTAAAGAACAGGAACAAACAGCAGGAGCAATGGCATCATAACACTCATCAGCAACAGCAAAGTAAAAACACCATCAAAGTTCCTAAATTAAAAAAGCTGGTTGAAATAAAGCAGTCTTAAGGAACCCCTCGGAAGTGCACAACTTTGCTGCCCTCTTCCAGTCAACTTGAATCCTGCTGGAATGGATACTGCTTCAGACAGTATAATAAAAGGAATTATGTCAGTTAATCAGGTATAATTGAGGCTGGGGTGGAAAGGTACTTAAGGATTATCACAAGAGGGGGGTTGAATATGCACAATCAGTATTTGCATAATTGAATTAGGAATAGTTCTTTGTAGAATCATTTTGCTATCACTCGTACTCAATTAGAAACATAGGTAGCTAGCATGCAGATGCACTGAGACCCCATGAGAAGGGGATTCTTGAAGATGGGGCACCCCTCCAAGTACACAGGAAAACCTTTAATTTAAATAAATCCCTGTGTCTTTCCTAAGCTGGAGAAAAGGTTGGGCTCTGCTTGCGCACTGTGAAGGTTCTGGGGAATGAACAGTGCAGCTGACAGGAGCCTATAGGCACAAGCCAGGGAAAATGCTGAGATGGGGATATGGGGAGGGCTGAGTGAGCAGCAAATGGAGGAAGCTTTCCACTCAGGGAGCCCCAGGACCTGGACAGGATTGGCCCAAGATGCTTCACTGCCCGAGGCAGAACTGCAAATGACACCCATCCCAAGCCAAGGCACATCATGCCCAAGGCCAATCAAGTCCTTTTGACAATGGAGACAGAAAATCCCACAAGTGCTTCCCCCACCTCCTGGCAGCAAAAACAGATTAATAACTGACTAACGATTTGCTCCTGTATTAGCTACCTGGGACAACTACCTCACATCGTCTTATGGTAGAGCTTACCCTAAGTCCATAGAAGTCAGGAGTTTAAAAGAAGAAAAAATCTGGAGCACTAACTACTGCATTGCAAGAAGAGATAATTTCTGCAAAGGTTTGCAGATAATGAGAAGCCACTCTGGGTGGATTTCCTCCTGGGTTTCTTATCACTTTGAATAGCTGGGGTGCAGAGGGGCACACCATAGTTTCTCGCTATGTGTGAACCTGGTATGGGTCGGTTGCTGGGGTGGTTTCCAAGCTATCTGCAGCTCTAAGACAGCGCGTCGGTTCTCTGTGGCTTGCCAGCCACTCCAACAACCCACTCCCATTGGGTTTGCACACCTAATGGAAGGCTGTGGTGGCGAGGGCTTGGATCCGCAACAGGGCACCTGTGCGCATCCCATCATGGCTAGTAAGACATGGTGTGTTGTGACTGTAAACCAGGTCAAAGGCTCTGATGCAGATCCAAGCCATTTGTATGCTGCCCAGTTGTGCCACAACTACCACGTAGCTACCAGAGTGGGACAGGTAAACTGTATTGTTCGAAGGAACTGAAATGGAAGCGAGTGAGATGAGCTGATTGCAAAAAGTAAATGTTTCATTAAATTTGATTTTAAAGAAAAGAAGTGGGAGACATACACTAGCATTCACATGAAAAAAAGCTCATAGACTGAAAAAGAGTCAAGAGCATAACTCAAAGGCAGTCATAGCAAGAGAGGAGGTGAGAGGGAACATTTTTTTTTGTTCTCTAGTGGTCTTATAAGTCAGAACCCGAATGACATACAGGTGTGTGGGAAAATGAATGCTTTCATATGTGTAAGGGAGGACAGATACCAACTTGATGACACAATAAACAAGCAGCAAATATGGCACAACATGTGCTTTGAAACAGATGTAAAAGATGGCCTCAAAAAGAATAACAACTGCATGAAAAGAACATTCGAATTATTTTTAGGCCCCAAACCAAGCTAATGTGGAATGATGTGTTGGCACTGTAAAAAGAAATATTCAACTTCTGTGGTTTGTAATTGTTTTGGATAGTTTAGATGTGTATACGTTAAATTGACACTCTAAACAAAATGTAACACACACACACAATGAAAAGCCAAACAGAAGAAAAGAGTGAAAGAATTTGAATGTGGGGGCTGGGGGGAGAGAAGGAAGGCTGTACAATAACTATCCTAGGAAATCTATGTTCTTTAACAATCCTGACAAGCGTAGTGAGGAGAGATGGTAGGTTGCTTACCTTAAGTATCAGACATAGCCAAGATACTCTCTGGGCTTGTTGTATGACTGTACTCCCCTCAAAGACCTGGCTTTTGCTGCAGTTTAGCTGGGCCTATTTAAAATCTTGTTGAAAAACTTAACCAGAGTTTGGTTAAGCCAGAGTTTGTACGAAACCCGCAGACTGCACACTATAATGAAGCAGGATCAAAAATGGAGACTATAGGCACAGTTCTATACACGTTTAAGCAGAAAAAAAATCCCTACATCTCCAAACATTCCCCAGCCAGCTTTATGCAGTGTAGGATTGCCTGAAATATATCAGAATATTACATACTGTTGCACATTTTAACAAAATTTAGCTAAATGTTAATTAAATTTATATGGATCTTTAAAATAGTTTTTAGCATTTAATAAAAATTTTAAAAGCATAAAAACCTGTTAGCATGAAGAAAATGGGGAATGGTAAATACGGGACATTTGGTCATCTCTCAATATTTATGGGTAACTGAATGCATTAGGATAAACTGAATGCTTCAGGGGATCTCTGTTTGTTCTTCACTCTGTTATTCATGGAGACTGAGTCAAATAAACCTTGTTCATATATGAGGTTTCGAGGAATAGTTGTTCTTTGGGTGATAAGCTCCCAGTGTTTGCCATTCATTTTTTTGGTGTGGTGTTCATCTTTCTGATTTGGGTCCGGGACAGGTTTTCAAACATTTCATTTGTGTGTTCAGAGAGGAGAACCATTGCCACACATTACACAGCACTGCCCATAAAACTTTGGTGGTCTCCCGAATCTCATTGTAATCCATAACAAACATCCAGAGCAAAATCCACAAATGCCCTATTGAAAATTGCGTGCAGATAGCAAATACATAAAAATCAGGTTTGCCTCATGAATCATTTATGAGCTGAGAACCAGCTAAACTTGTCAGATAATTTGTTTGCATGAAATCATCAGAGCAGCTGTACTCCAAAACATGCAATTTTCCAGCTATTTATTTGTCTGTTATGTAGGCCCATCTTTTAGCTATCAGTCACAAAGACTCCCTTGGAATCCACGAGGAAATACTGTCTTCTCAGCAAGTTTTCACTGTAAGCCCATATTTAGCATGGATGAAAACTGAAAAATGCTGGTTGTTGTAGGAAAAACTCTAGTGAAGAAAACCAAGAGAGAAGTTTGAAGCTGATTCATTTCTCAAAGATGCCACTGAAGGGGAAAATTGAGAGAAAAATGCAGTTTGAGGACATAATCAGTTTTAAATGTAGAAAGATTTGCATGTGAGTTTTGTTCTATGTGGCTTGTAAGCATACATTTAAAAAGAAATCCCAAGTACCAGAATGGGTTTATAGTTATTGCTATCTTGGTAGGGTTGTTGGGAGACCTAGAGAGATTCCCAATAACCTAATATTTATTTATTTATTCGATTTATATCCTGCCTTTTTCCTACAAAGGGCTCAAGGCAGCTTACATCATTCTCCTCCATCTTATCCCCACAACAACAACCCTGTGAGGTAGGTTGGGCTGAGAATCTATGACTGGCCGCAAATCACTCAGTCAGCTCCATGGCTGAGTGGGGACTAGAACCCGGATCGTCTGAGTCCCAGTCCCTTGCTCTTAACCACTACACCACACTGGCTCTCACTAATAGAGCTTTTCCCAACTAGATGCTCACCAGATGTTGTGGACATCAGTTCCTCTCAGCCCCAGTATGGATGGGCAATGAACAGGAATGCTGGAGGTGGTAGTCTCAAACATCTGGAAGACATCAGATTAAGAAGCTCCAAAGCATCACAAAGGCTTCAGAACAGGAAGGAATTTAAATTCCTCCAAATGTGAGTGAGCTCCAAATTCCATAAGCCCCAGCCAGCAGGGGCAATATCAGGGATGCTGGGCATTCTAGCCTAACAACAATTGTAGGGAATCGAGTTCATCACACTTGTTTTATGGCTACCTGTCCCTTAAAGATGCATTTTGTCCCGCTAACCCAGAACTGCACAAAGGTAACAATTCATGATGTCCTTCTTTCGAGATATATTTCCTAATATAAACATGCAATAATTAGAAACATTCCAAAAAGTAAATAACTAAATTATCCAAATGATAGAATCAATCAAGTCCTTGCAGGGCAGTGTTCTCTTTTTTGTCAAATCTACCAGTGCATCACACTGTGAACTTCCGATGGCCTTTGTCCAATGCAAGCGTTAACCCTGCCTCCCTCTGTCCCTATTGAGATAGAAACTTCTGTAAAATAGTTTACAACCATTCTGTAGTGTCATGTTTGAACAAGCCAGGGCTACCACTTCTAAAGTGTAGTCCTTGGCAAGTTTAGATCTGGGAAAGGGCTGACAACTCCCAGAGAGTCCTAGGAATTTTTCCTGTCAAAATAGGCATAGGCATGCTTACGAAAAGTTTTAAACCACAGCAAGATCCATTCCTGCAGCTGCCACTTCTCTTGCATCTATATTTTGATCCTGGGTGGGCAACTGAAGGACCAAGCATTATACCCCCAGGCACTGAATCAGGCTGCCTGACTTTCCAGTTGCTTCCTTTCATAAAACATTCAACAGCTTCATTTCCCTTTTAAATGTGGGATTCATGGCTTGTAAATGCAATCAGTTGTAGTAGTTACTGAATACTAAGCCTTTCTTCTCCCACTTGATGACCCATTTTATGTGATAAGAACATTTTCCCTTCATTATAGCTATTTCACAAAGCAAATTATGTTTATCATTACTGAGGGTACGTGGTAAATCAAACTGCGGAGAGGAAAAGTACGGATTCAGTGGTAGCTGTTTTAGAGCAGCAGTGCCCTTTAGAGCTGCCTTCTCCAACCTGGCACCCTCTAAATGTGTAGGACTACAATTCCCAGCCTTGGCAGAGATCTGGGGGTGGCTGCTCGAGATCCTAATCTTTGCCCTGCAGGCCATCTCAGCCTATTTTCTTTGTTCCTTTTCTGTTTCATAGCAACTTGCTACCCAAAATGTAAAAATGGTGGGAAGTGTCTGAGACCTGGAAAATGCAGGTGCCAACCTGGCTATGGAGGAAGATACTGTCATAAAGGTAAGTTAATCTTGGACACTGCAAATTTGTGATGAGGAAAAACAATATAAAATCAACCTGAGAAGACCATACAGAGCTATTGTTTGCACAAGTAACCTAAAGATAATCTGGTCCCATAAGTGCCGTGCCTCTTGGGTGCACTATGGTTGATCAGTTCATTTTTCTCCTGCCCTTTAGCAGAAAGGGCTCCCTGAGTTGCTTAGCTATGATTAACAATAGTGTGGAAGTAAATTACAAAGAGCAGGTGCTTCTGCTGACATTTCTTAAAGCCATGGAGCAAAGAGAGTACAAAAATGCAGGCAGTTCCACTTCAACAAACCAGTTGTAGCAGTTTCCATCACCAACAGGACCAGTATTTTTTTTAAACTAATGGATTTTTTTAAGCTAATGGATTTTTAAAAACTATTTTGCATTACAACGGGGACTTTACATTGTTGCAGGGAAAATTCATCCCATTCTTCAGGAACTGCCAGGATTTAAACTGGGCTCCACAGAAATAGGGGATTCTGGGGGGGGAATGGTAGACCTCAGCATCCCTGCTTATAAAAAAAGGACTGCTGCTGGATCTTGTGAGACCTGGCTCTGCTACAAGGCAGGCTCTGCCCTTGGGCTCACAATCCAAAACATTTGGTTGGTGTAGATGGATAGGTTGAGTCACTCTGCATGCAGGAATAGAGGATCCTGTCGCTTGGGTGCAGTCACCGTTGCATTTACCGTTGATCTGCAGTTGGATTAGTCAGTAAAAATTAAACCAGGAATTTCAGACATGGCTTTTGTGTTGCATCCAGCATAGCAATACTGGAGCAGGGTGGGCTTGATACACTCAGCCAAACATCATCCAATGGGAAAATGCTGGTGCAATGGGTAGGATATTTGCTGGTGCACGTGTGTGTGCTATTACCAGGATTTCTGCATGTGATTTATTATACATTAATTCGATTCCACACATGTATATAGTATCTGTACAAAGAACACAAAACGGTAGGATCTTTCGCAGAGGTGAGGTGTCTACAGGGTAAGTTATGCTAGACCATGGTGGGAATATTAGCCTGAGTCAAAGATTCCATTATAATTCAAGTTTTAGAATATGTAGAAATGTGTAGAGAAAGTGAGGAGCTTCTTAGCATGTTACACTGTGGAATTACTGGCTGACTCTTCCTAATAACTATGATAGAGGGAGAAAGGATGGAAGCAGGAAGTTAAGCAAAGACAAGGAGGTCACCAGGGAAATGGCAAGGGAATTATGGGAAGCCTAAGAGCAGTGGGGGACCATGAGTTTCAGTGGACTGCTGGGTTATGCAAGGGGTAGCTTGGGCAGATGTAGAGAAATACCAGGAAAAAAAGAGTCACAGTGGGCATGTTTACCTGGCATGTTTACCTGAGGAGGAGAAAAGACTGGGCATCACTCCCTGCTTGTGTAGAGTCGGTAAGACATCTGCAAAGGGCACAGCATGTTTCCAGGTTCTGGTTCTGGATGGAATTTGCGTTGTAGGGCAGGGAAGCAGAACCTCTCCTGGGTTTATGACAGACACGGGGCGGGGGGTGCGGGGCCAAAATACAGGTAGAGGAAAGGGAAGTGAGAGAAGGAGAAAAGCGAGCCAAAGGTTGGAGGCACCTGGCTTGAAAACCCACAAAACCCTCTTCTGACCTTGGCAAATGGGCAGAAAAAGAGCTAGCAGCTGGGAGGGGGAGAATCAGTGAGTGAAAGAGATGGAGAATAATGAGGCTGGAGGCTGGCGGGGAGAGGAAACAGCAAGGTCAGGGAGAAAAAAACAGGGAAAGAGGCTAGATAGGTAGAGAAGGATGACTACGCTAGCATTTTCCAAGATTTTTACTGGAAGGAATTACATTTTTTGAGGGAGACAGGAGAAGCAGAGCTTTGTGGCTGTGTTAGAGAGTCCCATAGGTGGAGACCCCTGGACTGGAGGTGCCAGCAAGTAAGTAAAAGAGATGGCGGCTTTAAAATGCCTTGCTGCAGTGGTGCTCTTAGCATGCTTTCTTCCTGTGCTTTCCTTCCAGTGAACTGCGAGGGAGGATGTCAAAATGGTGGGGAATGCATCTCCGTTGGTGGGGCGGTAAAGTGCCTTTGTGCTTCAGGCTGGACAGGATCAAGCTGCCAAGAAGGTAAGTAATTGAACTTGTATTGATCCTCAGTTAGTAACTGAATTAAGTCCCACTATTCTAAGGAAGGTATTGAACCTCAGGTCTAACGGCTGGGTCTCGGCCACCTGGAGGCCAGATCAGTCCCTTTGAGTCAGCCCGAATTCCTTTCCCATGTCCCATCCCTTTCCTCCAACTGATAACTGATTGGAATTTTCCTGGCTTTATGCTCTATGCAACCCAGATTCAGACTAGACATCAGGAGAAGCTTCCTCACTGTCACAGCAATATGACAGTGGAGTCAGCTGCCTAGAGAGGTGGTGGGCTCTCCCAAACTAGAGATCTTCAAAAAGAAACTGGGTGGCCATCTGAGTGGGATGGTGTGAACTGGTGTCCTGCAAAAGCAGGGGGTTGGCCCTGATAGCCTTCATGGCTCCTTCCAACTCTACTATTCTATGATTTCCTTTCATTCTAAAAGGTTGAAATGCCTCTCCTGTGACTTAGTGACAGTCATTAATAGCTTTAAACTAAAATATCCTGGTATTCTGGCCCTATGCCCTTTTGCTTTGGGCCTTTCCCACTACTGAGATGTAGTCCCTGGGAGCTTTTCAGAAACTGTTGAACTGAAGAAGTTCAACACCCTTGATCAGGCTGGTGATAATAATCGCAGCTAGGTTAGACTGAAGTCCTGTGGCCCAGGCCACCTAGTCAGCATCATGGCTTTGAACACAGGCTTCCTCTTCCAAGTCCACTGCTGTCAACTATAATACACTTGTTCTCAGAGCTCTGGCAAGCAAGCAGGAGAGAAGAGATCTCAACCACCACTGGGAAATAGTTCATTAAAATGCATCCTGAGTTTGGAGTACAAAACCTTCTTTCAGGGCAGCTTGAACTCTCAGGCCCAAACTTTCGATCTTGCCCTCCTGAGACTCTAATCGGCCCTGTGGGGTTTCACAGAAGCCTCCCATTTCCCCTGGAACCAGCCCATTTCTCCTAGCCACTGCCTGTTGGGAGGGTTTTCTTGCTTTTGTAAATAAAGAAAAAGGAAAAAAAGCCCAATTCAAGGGAAAAAAGTCCTTCTCCTAATGCTCAGGGGATGGCAAGAGGAGTTTAAAGATAAAATATGCTGGTAATTTTGGCCCTGCCCCATTGCCCTGCCATGCCCTTTCAGCCTTTGGGCTTGCTCAACCAAACTGAAATTTGGCCCTCGGGCTGAGAGTGGTTCTGCAATCCTGCTTGATATGATCCTGCACAGCATGGTATTTCTTCCGCTGTCTCCTGCTCTTTCCCAAAGATCGCACTAGCCAGAGGCCACAGTGCTTATCCCCTCCTTGGGGTACACATCCTCAAGAAGAGCAGTGTGTTTGCAGACTTTTGTTGCAATTTAAAGTCTTTGGATCCTGGCAACAGAACTTCATGCTCCTGTTAGGAAGAACATGTTGTATACATCTTACTACTAGGTGCATCTGACTCCCTAATGGACCTCTGGACTACAGAGTTTATTCATGAACTATATATACTGCTCTACCAAAGCCCAGCCCGCCTCCTCCCAAACTAGACAGTTTATAGAATAGAAGGGCTGTAAACAAAGTGGAAAAAGAACAGCATCTGTGGATTGCTTGGAGTTCTTGATGAGTCAATGACTCAGGGCTGGATTTAGATTTAGGCACACCTAAGGTGGACCCCATGAAATCAGTGGGCTTAAGTTAATCAAGGCCTACTTGTTCCATTTTATTTCAGTAGGTCTACTCTAAGTATTTATTTATTTATTTATTTAAAGTTTTTATATGCCGTCCCCATTTCTACACAGCCTCAGGACGGCTCACAACAACAAACAAATAAAACAAATAGAATTACAATTACAATTAAAACTTGGAAACACACTGGCTGCATAATTAAAACTATAAATATTAAAGATTATTAAAATACTGTTTGAATAAAAGGGTCTTGGCCTGGCACCGAAAAACAAATAATGACGGCGGCAGGCAGACCTCTCTGGGGAGCGCATTCCACAGATGGGGTGCCACCGCAGAGAAAGCCCTCTTCCGGGTACTTTGCTTCCTGATATCTCTTATGGAAGGCTCCCGGAGGACAGCCCCTGCTGCCGATCTCAAGGGGCGGGAGGGCAAATATGGCGGCAGGCATTCCTTCAGGTATCTGGGTCCCAAGCCGTTAAGGGCTTTATAAGTAATTACCAACACCTTGAATTGAGCCCGGACTTCGATGGGAAGCCAGTGAAGCTGGTAGAGGACTGGGGTTATATGAGAATAACTCCCAGTCCTCGTCAGCAACCTGGCTGCTCTATTTTGCACCTTCTGAAGTATCCGGACTGTCTTCAAGGGCAGCCCCACATAGAGCATATTACAGAAATCCAACCGGGAAGTAACCAATGCATGCGTCACTGTCACTAGGCAGTCGTCCTCCAGGTAGGGACGCAGCTGATGGATCAACCGAAGCTGATGGAAAGTGCTCCTCGCCACTGCCAACACTTGAGCTTCCAAAGTCAGCTCCGGGTTGAGGAGCACTCCCAAGCTGCGGACCATGGCCTTTAGAGGGAGTGCAACCCCATTCAGGACAAGATCCAGGTCACCTACCCAGGAGTTCGAACCACCTACCAGCAGGACCTCCGTCTTGTCTGGACTGAGCTTCAGTTTATTGGCCCTCATACAGCCACTGCCTCACCTGGATTGGTTGAAAAAGAGAGGTAGAGCTGGGTATCATCAGTGTACTGATGATTCCGCAGCCCACACCTCCGGATGACCTCTCCCAGCGGTTTCATGTAGATGTTGAAGAGCAAGGGGAACAGAATAGACCCCTGCGGAACTCCATGGCATAACTGCCATGGCGCAGAGGTAAAGTCCCCCAGCACCTCCTTCTGGAATCTGCCATCGAGGTAGGAGTGGAACCACTGCCAAGCAGTGCCTCCTACTCCCAGCCCCCTTAGCCTATCCAGAAGGATACCATGGTCGATGGTATCGAAAGCTGCTGAGAGATCCAGGAGAACCAACAGGGATGCACTCCCCCGTCTCTCTCCCTGCATAGGTCATCATACAGGGCGACCAAGGCAGATTCAGTACCATACCCTGGTCTGAAGCCGGACTGAAATGGGTCCAGATAATCAGTCTCATCCAAGAGAGCTTGGAGTTGTCCCGCCACCACCTGCTCCAGTACCTTGCCCAAAAACGGGATGTTGGCCACTGGTCTATAATTGGCGGCCATCTCTGGATCCAGGGACGCCTTCTTTAGGACCGGCCTGACCACTGCCTCCTTTAGAGGGGCAGGCACCCAGCCGTCCTTCAAAAAGGTGTTGATGACCTCCCAGATCCAGGTCCCTATCCCGTGTTTGGCTTTGGATAGTAGCCACGATGGGCAGGGGTCCAGGTAGTGGTACATACTTGTCCAAGCACCTTGTCCACATCATCAGGCTGCAGTAACTGAAACTCATCCAACAATGTGTGACCAGATGGTAACATTGGCACCTCCCCTAAGGAATCTGAGTCACTAGTGGAGTCCAGCTCATGATGAATCTGAGTGACTTTCTCCTTGAAGTGCTGGGCAAAGTCGTCACAGCGGGTTATCGAGGGTGGTTCAGGATCTTTCTTGGGGCCTGGCTGTACCAGCCCCATACCACCCAAAAAAGTTCCGCTGGACGGCACTGTGAGGAGGCAATGAAAGTGGAGAAGAATTTCTTCTTCGCCGCCCTCACCGCCACAGCATAGGCCTGATAATGGGCGCTTAAGTGTGTTCGGTCAGATTCATCCCGAGATTTTCTCCACCTATGCTCTAGTCGTCTCCCAACCCACTTCAATGCCCGTAATTCAGGCATGTACCAAGGGGATGAACGGGCTCTGCCCGGCGGGAGAGGACGCTTAGGAGCGATCGTGTCAATAGCTCTGGTCATTTCCCCATTCCACAGTTCAACCAGAGCATCAACAGGAGCGCCAGCTTTATCAACTGGAAACTCCTCCAGAGCTTTCAGGAATCCATCTGGATCCATCCGGCTCCAAGGGTGAACCCACAAAATAGGGTCTGCACCCTTACAGAGGGAAAGGCCACCATCGAGCTCAAACCTCACAAGGAAGTGGTCTGACCATGACAGGGGAGTCAGACACAGATTCCTCACCCTCAGGTCATCCTCTTCCTGTCCCGTCGAGAAAAACAGGTCCAGCGTTTGTTCACGTTCATGGGTTGGGCCAATGATATGTTGAGACAGCCCCATGGCCGTCATGGAGACCATGAAGTCCTGAGCCGCCCCTGTCAGATCAGTCTCAGCATGGAGATTGAAGTCCCCCAGGACCAGCATCCTGGGAGTCTTCAACACCAGGTCCGAGACGATCTCCATCAGCTCAGGTAGGGAGTCTGTTGGGCAGAAGGGTGCACGGTACACCAACAGAATCCCTAATCTGTCTCGGTCGCCCAAGGCCAAGTAGAGGCACTCTAGACCTGGTCTCGAGAGGACAAGAAGCCCCGCAAGGGAAAGAGAGGCTCAATGAACTAAAGCAACCCCACTCCCTTCCCTGCCCGGGTGTGGCCGATGCTGAACCAGAAACCCAGGCGGGCACAATTGAGAGAGGGATACATCTCGCCCCTCTCCCTCCCAGGTCTCTGTGATGCAAGCCAGGTGGGCCCCCTCATCCACAATTAAGTCGTGGATGAGGGATGTTTTATTATGGACCGACCTGGCATTAAGTAACAGCACCGTCAGGCCCGAGAGGCGGTTGATAAGCATACCCGGAACCTTCCGGCTGGGGGAATAACCAGAAGGGGGGATAGGTGTCAACCATCTGTCCCTCCTTCTTCTATGCAGACCCGTTAAACCCCCAACGCCATAATGCCCATTGCCCATAACCACCCCAATGGTGGCGCCCAGGCGCTCCCCAGGCAACCCCATAGAAGCAGCCAAGTGTGAATCCATTAAAAACAGACAGAATAAAACAGATAAAACAATTAAAAGCAATAAAACCTCACCCCCCCCCACAGCAAATTAAGAAAGCTGACCCATAGAGTCCCTGGCCAGCCCAGCCCCTGCACGGCCCCAAGCAGTGTCACTGCCCTTAGGCCGATGCCCTTCAGCCGCTGGCCCGAGGCCACCGGCACCGGTCCTGGCCAGCAAGTTAAAGCCCGCGGCTCCTCCTCCGCGCCCCGCCCCCTGAGCGGCGCAGCTCTCACCCACGCCGGGGGGGTGGGCAGGAGCAGAGCCCGCGGAGCACTGGCCGGCAAGGTGGTGGTGGTGGGCCGGCAGGCCGGCAGCGTCCCGGCGGTAGTCTTCCGGGCGGCGGCAGCACGGCGGGTCTTCCTGGGCAGCAAGGGTGGGCAGTCTGTCCCTTCCGTCCCTTCCGCGGTCTGACCAAGTATGACCAAGTCTAGACTGAGCTCTTGTACTGCTAGATCAGAGGATGTAATATTTTCTATATTATCAAGGCCAGCCAGCCAGCCAGCCAGCCAGCCTATTATCTTCAATGTCCGTGTTCAAATCCTCTCCCAGCTGCGATCATAAGTAACAGCTGAGACTGTTCATGCTGCAACTCACATTTTGACAGTTTTATGCAAAGGCACCAATGTTTTACAGTGCTTTGAGGCAGAAGATTGTTATTTTTTACTTAAAGGTTTTTCCAGAATCAATATAATAGCAAGAACAGAGAAATCACTTTGTTCTTTTGTTGCAGCAATTTGCCCTCAAGGGTGTCGGAATGGAGCGGCTTGTATGACTCCTGGAATCTGCAGCTGTGCAACTGGATGGATTGGTGGCGCATGTCATATAGGTGAGTTACTCTTAGTGCCAGCTCCAGGTTTTGAAGGCCCTTCGGCAAGACACCCTTAATAGGTCCCCTCCCTCAGTAAGAGAACCTTCTCATTATCACCAGTTGCTTTTGCTTTTCCTCCTCTTTCTCATCACTGCTCTCCAATGATTGATTGTAAGCCATCCCGAGATGTTCTGTAGGGGACGGGATAGAAAAGCTTATAATAGATAAATAAAGGCACAGAGCCAAGGAGCATGGGGCTCCTTGTTTTGTTGGTTGGTTGGGCCAGAGTGAGAGGCAGGTGAGCACGGAAATTGCAGTGATGAAAAGGAGGAACGACTCCAGGTCCCTTTTGCCAGTGGGCCTCTGCACCCTCAGCAAATGCTTTTGTAGACATTTAAGAGCCCTTTGATTGCCATATTTAAAGCTAACATGAGGTGCTTCCAGACAAGTCTTCCATCGTGCAGTTGCCCTGCCTCATCCACTGAATGTTATAGTGGACCCATTTGGGATATAGAAACATGGAATCAGAGCTAATCAGAAGGGCCATCCCGGCCATCTCTGGCTTTGCTCATGACATGCCTACCATGTGCATGTCCTCCACTTGTAACTGTCCCTTGTTCCCCATGTTTTCTTCCATATTTCTTCTTTATGTGCACACTAAAGACGAAAAGGTGGAATAGCTACACAAAGTCTTCTGATTGGTAGCACTAGGAGCTGTCCCTTTGGAAGCATCCATCCTCTTCAACACCTCCCAGAGTTACAGTGGAAAGTAGTTGAGCTAACTGTATCCACAACCCTATCTTCTGCCATAACACTTATAAATATGAATATATTTATTTAAGTAGAAAATATTACTCCTTTTGCTCGGGATATAGTCAATTAGATAGTTATGGTTCTGTTGTTGATAATTCATCAACAGTACTTGCTGTGCTGCCTCACTTCAGTGGCTCTCGCATGATTGCTTTATGCAAGAACCACCAAAATGAATGAGGACCGTGGAGCAGCAGCAGAAGGGCAGTGGTTGGGCTGATGGTTTGCATCATTGAAAAAGCTCTACTGAAATGAATTGTGGCATTGTGGCAGATTTCTGGTCTTCTCCTTTGTCTTCTCCTTTGTCGTTGTCTTCTTTGTCTGCTTCTACTTCATCTTCTTTGTCTTCTTCTTCTTATCAAGAAACAGCAGTAAAAAGATTGCATCTCACATCTGATCCAGCTTTAATGTCCATTGCTCAGCAGATGTTGGCTCCCATGGAGAAAACCAGGCTACATTAAGTGAAAGTGATGCTACAAACAAGAATTGCACAGTATACCAGTCAGCATGATTTGTCTTTTCAGTTCAGCAGGCTTAAAAAAAGGAAACAAATTCCCCTGGAGGCAAACAAAAACAGTCTCTCTGTAACCACTGTAAACTTGGGTAAGAGGCAGGCAAGCCTCTTAATGCACTGGTTTACAAATGGTGTGCTAAGCCCTCAAGCAGATGATAGGAGTCAAGTGGGGGGTCACTAGATTGACTGCTGAATATGAAGACCTGTAAGTGGGTAAGAGAATATTTTGCAGAGATTTCTTGCTTCTTCAGTGAAATAACCTGTTACTGTGGAGGATATCTCCACCTGGAAGCACATTTACCAAGATCAAGGATTGGAATCTAGAGATGGATTCCAAATTAAGACCACAATTTGATAGATTGTTACAAAAGTGGAACTCCATTGTTGCAAAATACTTGTGTGTGTTTGTGTACATGTCTGTGCTCTCAGATGCTTCAGACTAATATACTTTGTACAGTCTGTGTCTGTAGTTATTGTACAGGTAAAGGTAAGCCTCCAAGTAGCACTGGATTTTTCTTTAAGCAGAAATTCATCTGACTTGAATGTAGCTGCCCTCGGTGTGGTACAAACCCATATAAAATACTCTGTAAACTTCTGGTGCACAGCATCCTAAAAAAGGCTATTCTTGAGTTGTAAAAAGTGCAGAAAAGGGCAACTAAAGTGATCAAGGAGTTGAAGCAACTCCCCTGTGTTGAAAGGAAACAACATCTGGGATTGTTGAGCTTGTAAAAATGGCGAGTAAGGTGCAGAGACGGGCACCAGTCTAAATGGACGCATTGATAGTAGATAAAAGTATCAGAGGCTACTAGTCCTGCATGCTACATGCTACCTCCAGTATTAGTACCCGTGGCAGAATGCTTGTGTACAGCAGTTGCTATGATATCCTGCTTGTGGGTTTCCTGAGGGCACTGCATGAACAGAATGCTGAACTTGATGGACCACTGGTCTGATCTGGCACAGCCCTCCTTATGTTCTTGTGATTTCCTTGAGACCAACATAGCTGCTCTTGTAAGCATTAGTTCAAAATACTAACTATATGTAGTGCGTCTCAGCTTAAGCATTGTGATTCTCTCAAGTTCACTTTACCTCTAGCTCTCAAAGAGGCCTGTAAATTCTATTGAGATTGCTTTTTTTAACAGGACATAGCAATGAGCACAGCATGGTGTGCTTTAGAAGCATCAGAGGTCTCTTGCCCTGCTTCTGAGAAGGAGGGTGCTTGCTTTCTGCATTCCCCTTGAACTGTAACCCTGTCACCCCAGGATGCTGTTCTTAGCTTCTTTCCTCTTGAGTCCCTGGAATTAATGTCATGGATTAATCCTTTTGAAATGTATATTTGGGGGAAGGTGACTCTTTTGAAATGCCGGCCATATAGGGCACCACAGAAATGTTCGAGCAGTTGACATTGCTAGAAAGACTCCAAAATAATAACTTTAATCTAGTTGCTTTTGGTAGGGGCACAAACAAATGCAATCCGTGACCAGATTGGTTCATCTTTCTCAAAGATGGAGACTGGGAGTTTGTTCCAATGTTCAAGGGTATGGGTGGAGTTTATTCATTTACTTCCTTATTTTTGTCATTTTTCAGCAAGACATTTCAGTCCAGAACAACCTGCAATATAAAACAAAAAACAAAAATGCGCAAGCAGCAAAGAAAATTAATCAAGTAGCAGTCAATAAAAATATGCATCCAGTAAGAGGCCACAAACAATTCAGCTAAAAGCCCTGATTATTTTTTTTTTTTTAAAGAGGGGAGAGGAGTCTTAGGGCACAATTCCATGCACAGTTAGATGGAAAAAATTCCTACAACTCCCAGAATGCCCCAGCCAGCTGTATAGACTGGGGTATTCTGGGAGCTGTAGGTCTTTATCCTGTCTAAACATGGATTGGATTGCATCCTTAACCTCATGCCTAAAGATTGCTAATGTAGCAACTTCAGAGACCTGCCTGGGGAGGCTGCTCCACAGAGTCAGCATCATCACTGAAACAGCCCTTTCTCTGGTTGACAGCACCTAATCTCGGAAAATTATGGGCTGCCGAAGAAAGGGATCAGGAGGACTGGGCACGTTCAGATGGGAGAAAATGGTCCTTCAAGATCCTTAGTCTAACTTCTTTGAGGGCTTTAAAGGCTGCAACCGTTGCTTTTAACAGAGCATGGAAACAGAAGGCCAAAGTAGCTCTTGGAGTAGGGCCAGATATGTTGAAACTCCTAGGTGGCAATGTATTTTATTTATTTATTTGGAATTTTTGTATGCTGTCCCATTCGCATAAGCCTCAGGATGGCTTTCAACATATAAATAAATATCTATACAAATACATATAAAATCTGGAAGCATCCTGGCAATAATTTAAAACCAATAAATAAAATCAATGTAGCATAAACATATCAATGACATATCAATGTCAATAAAATCAATAAATTTAAAACCAATGTAGCTACTGTGTTCGAAACCAGTTGATGTTTCTGAACTGTCTCCAAAGGCAGCTTCATCCTCTACGCATTGCAAAGAGCTTTTCTTGAAGTTACTTGGATGACTGTGTTACTTTCCTTATAGAAGGGTTGCAGCTGGCATATTGGGCTGAGCTCCTGAAAGGAACCTTCTGTCATGGATGCTACAGGGTGAAGGCTACTGTGGTATATTTTATTGGTATTTTCGTCATGCTGCTATTTAGGAATACCTGTGATATTTAGAAATACTTTACTAATAGTATAAAATAATTTATAATACTAGATAATAATATGAAAGCAGCACTCTGTGACTGATGTATTTTACCTCCAGCATTATGCAGGCTGCCTTGTCACCATGGAGGCAAATGTATTGCTCCAGATGTGTGCAGATGCCGTTTACCATATTCTGGTATACAGTGTACAAAGAAGATCAAGCAATGAAACAGCCTCTCTGAAGATGACTTCTCTCAATGAGTAAATGAAAGGAAGGATAACATTTGCATTATGGTAGTATTTTTTAAAAATCTGATTTATGTTAAATAAAAGCTTTTCTGTACATTTTTAAAAGATCCTCACAGCATCAAAGCATCTCAATATATTTCAAACTATGTATGAATGTGGAGGATTTGGTTGTGTGGGGGATACTTTTTGTCTCTTTCTAATACATTTAATTGAATAAAGCATTTCCTGTCAAATATTTTCATGAATAGAAGTTGTTGTCCTGTATAATAAACAGAGTGATTATATTGGTTTTCAGACTCCTTGTTCTTGCATAAGACGTCTCTGTGCAGAAGCACACTTCTACGGGTGGATTCCCCCCACACCCCCCCCCATCCAAGAAGGTTGAATGGTCTGTGCTTCAACTCTGGTGTGTAACAGCTGGGCTACCTGATGCTGTCAAGACACAGCAAGTGGCAGAGGTGAGCAGCCAATCTCCAGACAGCATCTGGAGAGTCTAGATTGGAGTCCTGGGACAAAGGCATTATGGGCATTCCAGGGGACGGGGGCGGGGGGAGGCAACTGGTGTCACCATCACATGAGGTATCCCTTCAGCACCTCAGCATCCTTGCCTCCTGTTCCCAGGCGCCACACTTAGGTGAAATGAGCTAAGTGCTTTGCAGGATGGGAGGAACCCAGATGCAGCCTTGGTCTGTGCACTCTCCTGCCCTGCACAGGATGTTCATAATCTTTGCTTCATCCTGATGCAGTCCCCACCAGCACAGCAGTCAGGTGAATTCACCTGCTCCATCCATCTTATGATGTAGACAGTCTCTGCATATCCCTCCTCTGTAAGGCATTGCCACACCTGCTTGTTATTTTTTGTGCATAAAAAGTCAACATGCACCACTCTTACCTTTGACTCTCACTGGGTTGAGGATAAAGCCTCTTACTTCAAGGAGTTGTGATGAGGAATAGGCTTCCTATTTCAGGTTGTACGATGAGCCCTGCTGGACCAAACCAACGGCCAGCTGAGCCTTAGAGTGGAATCTTGCTTCCAACCAGACACCCATTGGCAGCCCTTGTGCAAGACTTCAGGACAACAACCCTCCCCTCTTCTACTGTTCTTCCCCAGCAACTATTGACATGCATTTCCTCTGGTCCTGGAGGTAGTACATGGTCCACATAACCAGGAGCCCTTGAGTAGTTCCCTTTGTGCACACTAAAAACTGTACGTCTGATGTCATGAGAGAGGAAGGATATTTTTAGTTGCAATGCCGAGACAATAAATATGCAGGCTTTCAGAAATTTGCTACAGTGCTTAAAAAACTTTTCATTTCTAGGTTCTCCAATGGGAAAAAAAAAGCATGGCTGCTTAGCCAACTGCAAGTGTCGGGCATAGCCAATGTCAGGCTCTTGCAAGATTCTGCACATTTTTGCCATCCTCATCTTTAATTGCTTGAATTCAGCACCATCTGCTGGAAGTTAAATTCTTTGCCTTTCCTCACCTCCAACCTTGTTCCCTTTGGACCCTACATTTAATGTTGAATGTTGAGCTCTTGTTCTCTTAAGTGTGATTCTGCCTGCTGACGTGCCAAACTGGTACTTCATTGGCTTCTGTCAGAAAGGTGGCATGGTACATGCCCATGTTGTGTGGCCAGTTTAATACAGAGCCTGTCATAGTAGCATTCACATTTGGAAAGGCTAACTACTGTGCTAAAACCAAATTTAGCTGTAAGTGCAGTAGGTCTCTTTCTCATATAAATACATGCAGAATTCTGCAAACGCAAGTAAGGTTTTATTGCTACTATCAGCATGGGGCAGAAGGATGGGGGGGGAATATTTGCATATTAACTGCTGCTTTTAAGATTTTGTCTGCGTAGATGAATCATGGCTAGAAACAGTTGCAGCCTGGAAATCTAAATTTGCGCATGTTGTAGACTGAGGTATAATTACATTGATTTAAAGTGGGAGATAAGAAGGAAGCCTAATTATATGAATTGGCTTTAGCAGCCGTGGTGCAAATAGTCATTTGCCATGCTGCAGGAGCTATCCTGCCTCATTTGCCATCAAATTGACCAAAGTTCCCACAACAGCGCCCAAAAGCCAGCAGCGTAGGGCTGTGCTAGGACTGCTGGCCCAAGGAACCTGATAGTCACATTTCCAGTACGCTGGGCATCAAGGTAGGTGTTGCACCTCCTGGTCCTGTGACTGCTAGCCCTGGTTCCCCCTTCATCTGAATACAAGCTGTGATACATAAGTAGAATCCGCCACTCTTCTGGGGGGTTGTGCCCATTGGGGTCAGAGGGAAAGGGCATGCAAATGGCAACCATAGCAGCTCCACAGTGACCTGTGCAGGGTCAGCTAAGGACATCTTGTTCAGGCCTCTCTCTCTCTCACACACACACACACACACCTGAGTGTCTGTACATGCTAAGGCAATGTCGGCAGTGTTCAGATGCAAGCAGCATTGTTCCTAGGATTCTCAGGCAGCTCTGCATAAGAGATTTAAAGGGCTACTTTACTGGGGCTTCTTCCATTTTCTTTGCAACAGGAAGAGTGTGTCCTTTATGTGTTTTTTGGAGGGGGTGGGGGGAAGGTCTCTTTGTCTTCCTTTCTATCTACTCCATTAGCCAACCACACATTGGCTGTGTGGCAAAAATGCAGCATAGCAGAGCTGTGTTTCTCTTCCCGACACCCCCACCGGCATGCCCTTGTTGCACATGTGTTGTGTCTTTGTGTTCGGATGACAGCAACACAGGCTCCAGCCTGGCACTTGCGAACTTGGCAAGCTTGCATTGAGTCTAGTGAGATTTTCACATTAAAGGCATCTTCTCTTCTCTTGACATGTCAAGTCAGCTACAGCAGAACAACAAAATGAAGTTATAAATGTAAATCGGGTCAGCTGCCTTGTGTCTAAAAATCAAAATGTGTCTGAGAAAGCAGACATTTTGCGCAGTGTCATTGTAAATGAAAAAAATATATATACTGGGGCAAGGGTGGGGTGATATTCAGCATGCAACATGCTGGAGATAAAGATGCTTACTAGCTATCAGTTTGTAATTTATGTACTTCACAACAGAATAAAAGGATTTTTTTATTAAAAAAAAAGGTAAGTAGGTATTTTTGTAGCAAATGGCCATATATTGATGGGAAAGCACTGAATCAGGGATCATACCAAAGATCCCTGGTTCAGTCCTAAGAATCTCCAGGTAGAGCTGGGAAAATTCTTTCCAGAAACCTGGAGAGCGGCAGCCAGTCATGGTCAGCATCACTACACGAGATTGTCCAATAGTCTGATTTGCTCTAAAGCAGCTTCTCATGATGGCCAGAGGGACATCTTCACCTAATGCCCCCTGGGGGGAAGACTGTCAAGTCCTGAATCCGTCAGAGGAGAGCTCTCCTTTCTCCTAGGCTGATTCAATTCCTTTGACCCATGGAGTCAGCTGTATCCTATCTCTTGGTATCAGACAGTGGTGTGCCTTTGACTGGATAGATGTATGGTGCGAAACGAGGGATGTGTGGTCACCCTTTCTACTCCACCATTTGGCTGCGGGGAGCAACAGGAAATTCTGCTCAGGCTCCCATGTTGGCTTTTGGGTTTGAGGAGGAGCATACCAGGCACATGGCAGAGCATAGGAGTCACACTATGAAAAATCGGGGTGGGGGGGGGGCTTATATGGAAGGGGACGGTATTTCAGATTCAAATTATTTTTCCAGTTGGCCCGGTTCCTTCCGTTACAATGCTTCAGACAGTGGAGGTCTTCCTTTCCTCCTTCCCCTTCCTTATAGCCTTTGTGCTGATACTCACAATTCTCAACGTGGGGAAGTTGAGCAAGCTTTAGAGGGGTTGGGAAAGGAAGTAGCTATTGAAGTTTGAGTTTGAAAGAGAACCTATTTCTTGCTGGGAACACAGGGCTGGTCTTGGAGGGCAGGATGTTTCTTGGCCTGGAGAAGACCCAGTTCAAGCCCTACTGCCCACCAGGAAGAGGCATTGTCCTGAGGACAGACTGCTTTCTGGCCAACAGGAAGATAATTGTGCACAATCATATACTTCTGTGCATTCTTGGTACTAATGCACAGTTACACCCTGGTTTCTTTAATTAAGTCAAGCAAGAGGGAGCGGAGGAATTGTTATCTAGATCACAGCATGCATCCACAATCAAGACCAAGCAATTGGCCACCCAGTACCTCTAATTCCATGAGAGACATCAGGAGGCAAAGTACCTGGAGGAGGGCCTTCTCTGCGGTGGCGCCCCATCTGTGGAATGCGCTCCCCAGAGAGGTCCGCCTGGCACCGTTGTTATTTGTTTTTCAGTGCCAGGCTAAGACCTTTTTATTTAAACAATATTTTAACAACGCTTAATAATATCTATAGGTTTTAATTGTGCAGCCAGGGTGTTTCTGGGTTTTTAACTGTACTATGTATTATGTTTATTTATTTATATGAGCTGTCCCGAGGCTAAAAGCGATGGGACGGCATACAAAAGTTCTAAATAAATAAATAAAATTAATTGAAAAAATGGAGACACAGCTGCATGCTATGCATTAAGTGTAATATGTAGCTTGCCCCCTCTTTGCTGTTAGAATGCATACTGTGCCTTTCCATTTTGGAAGTTCTGGCATTGAGGCCTGAGGTTCTGTTCTGCTGATAGTCTTACATGGATGGGTCTCCTCAACCCATTCTCTTAATTTCATGAAATGACCTAGAGAGATGGTTGGCCAGGACACTGAGGAAGCTTAAAAGGATGGCTAGATCCTGTCACCTGATGATGCTTCGAGTGCCAGGTTATTTAAGAAGAATTTAAGTGAGAGGAGCTCTCTGGTCAGATACCATTAGTAGGACTAAATTAGTAGTTGCCTAAATCAGTTTCAGCCCACTTAGTTGGACAATGAATGAATAAGAACCAGAACCAATGTGCTCTTTGCTGGATTAACATTCCTTTATAGGAATAGTTACAGAAAACTATAAAATATAGTTATAGAAAAAAGCAAGATTTTCTTATGACTATTTGCTGCTTTGTTGCATACTCTGATTGTTCTGCCAAAGGTGTAGCTCCACACAGGTATCTTCTACTAGAGCTGAAGTATGAAGCCATAAGCCTAAGAAGTTGATGGAGCCAATCAGTTCTTCCTAGTTTGCCAGGAAGAAGCACCCAAATTTGCAACCACCTCTGCAACCCATATGGCAGCCTTCCCCCGTCTGTGGCTGGGACTGCAATTCCCATGATTCCCAGCCAGCATGGCCATTATAGCAGCAGCAGTCCAATGCATACGGAGAGCACCAAGTTGGGGAGGGCAGCTCTATGGCTCACAGGGGCCAACAGAAAGTGGTGATCTCCACCAAGCTGAGCCGATCCTTTTTGGTGTGTTTTAGTCTATAATTCCCAGTCTCAATAGGGAAAAATAATTGCTTCTGGATCCCAGACCATGTAATAAATCTTTAGAACTTGCATGTTACATGTAAGTATTTATTTGCTATGTTTATATCCCACTTTTTCCTCCAAGGAGCCCAAGGGGGCATACATGATTCTACTCCCCCTACATTTCATCTTCACAACAACCCTGTGAAGTAGGTTAGGCTGAGAGTCAGCAGCTGGCTCAGTCTCCCAGTGAGCTTCACGGCTGAGTAGGGGCTAGTTTTAGTCCAGTATTCCAACCACCATGCCACACTGGCTCTCACACGTGTTCCACAATTTTGACTTCAGGTAATTTCTGAATGCTTCTTTTGGCTTATTGCTTACAATAAGGAGATGCCTCAAATGGTGAGAATGTATCCTACACAATCCATACGGCAGCATCATATCCCATGGCCAGACTATCGGAGCAGCTCAAGGCAGGATCCCAAGCAATACTGCATACAGGCTACTTTTCGAAAGCATGCTTCCCTTGCCACCAGGTTGGGAATCTGAATCCTTTCCAACTATTTTATTATGAACTTTAAAATATGTGCTTTTCAGTTCTGAGGTATAGAAAATAAAGATGCATAGTGGTGTACAAGGTCTCTGATACGAGCTGCCAGTTCAGCAAAAATTATTCTCTATGGGTTTCAAATCATACTGAGACTTTTTGTTTCAGAGAACTTGGGCTAGGCTAGGCCCTTCTGAAAACAGAGAACAGGGTATGCACAAGATGTGCAGGGATGTGCAGCCAAGTTCACTATCAGGCACGCTGATTCCACGTGAAATGTGGCAAACAGCCCTGCCCAGCCCTAGAAGTATGTGGCAGCCAAACCTACAGGGCCTCCACCTGTGCTGGTGCCACTGTGCCTCAGCTGCGGAGAGATCATGGGCCTGGAAAGGAGCAGGCTTCTGGATGCTTTCTGGTCAGCTGCAGAAAAGCTTCTGTTTAATGTGACTGGCAGGGCCAACTCTTGCCGTGTGCCTGACCCAGCAGTGTTGTGCCTCACGCAGAGGTGGCATTAGGGAAGAGTTTCAGTGTAGAGTAGTTCTGTAATCTCTTCTCTGCATATGGAAGGGGCTGGATATGTAAAACAGCACCTCAGGAGAGCTCATCTGCATCTGAAGAACCCTGTAGTCCATGCAGCATGGCTATACAGTGCAGAAAGACCTGCTCTTCACGCATGACGTCCTCGTACCTTGAAACAAAGGGGGAAAGTCAGGCTGATCAAAATGCAGCTTAGTTCCTTCCCGCTCCTCCTTCATCTACTGCAGTTACCTGAATTTTTTCCTCACAGGTGGTGCCAGTGTAGCCCCGACGGCAAGAGCAAACATTGGGCTGTATGCATGTCCCTCCATATAGGCATTTCCAGTTGCACACAGCTGAAACATACAAATGTGCATGCTTTAACTTGGAAACAAAAGAAAGGCTTTTCAAAGGAAAGAGGGCTTCATTATTCTGCATTTACTCCTAGGTGTACAAGCACAGGCTTAGATGTCTGAAGCCAGCAAGCTATAAGGTGCAGTACTACCGGGGTCCCACGGAGCCACTGAATCACAGAATAGTAGCATTGGAGGGGCCCAGAGGGCCATTGGGTCATATACCCTACTGTTGTGGGAGACTTAGTTACACTATCACACTCAGATGACTGCCCAGATGTTTTCTGAATGTCTCTAGCAAGGAGGAGCCCACAGTGTTCCCAGTTGGCTGTCCAACCCTCCTCATCCTAATTTTAAGATTTTTTTTAAAAAATGCAATTTTTAAAATTTTGTTTTAATTGACCTGTTTCAATGAGCAATGGGCCATCCAGCATATTTATTTGAGCTCAAAAGTAGTTATGTGTTTTAGGATTCAGATCCCAACTCTGCCCTGTACTTAGGTTTTCAGGCAAGTTACTTTGCTTTTGGTCTTATCACTTGTCCCACAGAAAAATAAGTGTGGGGTTTTTTTTTGTTTTGTTTTGTTTTGTTTTTTGATGGGGCAGGCCCACCATGGCAACCATTCTTTGACTGGACAAGCTTCCTCCACCATGGTGGTCATTTTATGAGAGTGCCCAGGATTACACACTCTCAACATTCCAGATTTGCCTAGTGACCCAAAAAGCTTGGGGATCCCTGCAAGTAGTACAAATAACTATCTGCGAGTTTCAGATCAGAAGGAGCCTCAACATTTCCATTTCTAAATGGCCATAATTTTTCAGCTACAAAGCAAATGTTCCAAGGTGATATGACTGATTTGGCCCCGGTCATTTGATTGATGTTGCTGCCAATGACTGTTTTAAATAAGATTTTGTGCTCATGGTATTGCACTCCTCAAAGACTTCTAACATGAATCGATTCCCTGTGGCTTTGTCCTGAGAGTGCAAGAAGGACCAAATTGATTTTAGAAATATTGGGTGGAATAGCAGGCAAATTAAAAAGTACTCAGCACACACAGTTTAAAATAACATGGTCTAAACTACAAAGAAAATCTGTAGGGCCCTGTAGTGAATTGCTTTCTTGGTTTATTAGTTTCTTACTGCTTAATAAAATCTTTAGCTTTGCTGTGTTCATGGTTTCCAAATTCTAAAAAGAACTGTATCCTCTTGACAATACAACCTCACAGGCAATGTTGACTCTCTTTCTGCTTGCATTAATAAGCATCCAGCTCATTGGGTGTCTCTTTGGATGTGACATGAATCACCAACAGCAGCTCTAGCAGTTACAAATGGTTTTCTCCATTGTAATCCAGATGCTTTAACTGACTCACGTGTTTGACACTGAATTCCTTCCCACCCTGGAGGACAATGGCAAGTACTTGGTCCAATACATTCACCCCCATTCTTGCACTTCTGAAGACATATAGCTGCATGAAACAGACAGACACACTTAAACCATGAATACCCATGATGGCTCCAAAAGTGGGCAAGTAAATAAGAAACAGTGCAGAAACAGTATGATCAAATGGCTCCTCCTAGGAAATAGTGGGATTAGTCAGGTGTTTAAGATGGAAAATTATTTTATAATTAAGTAAAAAAGAGAGGCAACAACAAAGAAAGTGATACACAATCACTAAGGGTGTGATCTTATGCATGTTCAGATAGACAAAAGTCCTATAAGAACTTGCTAAATTTTCTACACAATATCATCTCTGAAATGTCATCAGTTCACTGCCAATGAACTGTCTGATTTGGAGGCTTCCGATTACATGTTACACACACAACACAGCTCTTATGTAAGCTGCTCCTGATCAGCAATTAAGGGAAGAGGGATTTATCTGTTTGGAGGAATGAGCTGGTCACACCAAGTCACTGTGAGTTTCAGCCTGAACTTTAAAGAAGCCACCCCTGTTGCCAAGCCTATTTGGGGAACAGAGTTCAGTTCAGCACTGTGGAAAGCTCCTAAAAAGTTCAGACAAAGATCTTGGGCAGATACACTGTGCCACTGATAGGGAAATGTCACACCAAGGCTCCAGACAGATACAGCCCAGTGAAATTGGCACTGCCAGCTGCTGGTGCCCAGAGGTCAGAGTTGGAGGTTAGGTCTGAGGTTCAGCAGACCAGATTATATGGAGCCAGGCGCTTCCAAGAATGATAACTAAAGTGAGATTATCCCAGCATAAGCAGGAACAAGAAAGAATAGAATGTGACAGTTCTCAGCCCAGATTGGCTGAGAACACTTCTTGTTCCCAGCAATTTTCCTGCACACACCTCCCAGTCTCAGTGAGAGTTGTAACGCCCTCTCTCCAATATTTTTCTGCAAGGTGTTTGCTGGATTTAAATACCAAATGAATGCAACCTGATATTGGTCTCATCAACAGTAGGTGAGCAAAGCCATGATCTGACAACCTCAGTATGAGAAATGGGAATTTGTTTCAGAACTGTGAAAACTTTTCAAAAATGCTTTTAGGGTGACAAGCTGAGCCAGAAAGACACTGAGTTGTCCATATAGTTGCTTACTTAAGGACAGAGGTAAACAAGGAAATCTACACAGGGTAGTTGGGAATAGATGGTCAGTCCTGCTTCCATCTTTCAGATAGGAAGCCCTGGAGGTCACGTTAAGCAACAGTGAAAACTGTTCCTCCAATCAGAACTGCATATATATTAAATGCAATTTATGTTGTTTATGCTCCCAATTTAGCGAGGTTTTTTTCTCATGCTGAAAGGGATACGTACGTGTATTGCATCTTGTGCCTCTCCATCCCGATGGGCAGGAGCACATATTCGGGCCGACACATCTTGCGCCATTCATGCACACTGGGTCACAGATACCTTACATCAAAGAGCAGGTAGAAATTACACCATGCATGTGAGTAGGTGGGCAGCATTTCCGCAAGTTGCATTTTGCAAAGGTTTTGAAGCAGTCTTACTTTTTTCACACCTTCTGCCAATGTAGCCTTCAGGACATGCACAAACATTATTTCTCCTACAGAGGCCACCATTCTTACATGAAGGGTTACAGACAGCTAAAGATAAAGAGACAAAAATGTGAGACACAGGTTCAGTCACTACAGGGCATAAGAACACATCAACTTGGCTTTCTTCTCATTGGATCTGAACCATATGCAATGCCGGGCTCAGGTAGGAGCTAACCTGTTCTCTCCAGCTTTCTGCTAAGAACCCCCATTGCTCTCTGACCCTTATCTAATGGCTGTCAACATTTATTTATTTGATTTATATCCCTCTTTTTTCTTACAACAAACTCAAAGCAACCTGCATCATTCTTCTCCTCCTGCTCTTAATCTTACATCTACCACAACAGCCCTTGAAGTAGGCTGGGCTGAGAGTCTGTGGCTGGCCCAGAGTCACCCAGTTGGCTCCATGGCTGAGTGGGGACTAGCTGTCCCATACCCGTCCCATACTCGTAACCACTACACCACACTCCCTTAGTCTCAGTGTCTCTCTCAGTTAGACATACTACTTTCCTATCAAGCAAGATATGGAGGATCTGTGCACAGGGAAATATCAGCAATGCTTCTCCTTTGACTAACCACTTGCAGCCGGTTTGTCTATCCTGTTAGCTCAACCAGGTATAAGCTTTGGCATAAAAGCATCAAGGTACAGGCCCAGTAGACATATTGCATAATAGTCTGAATATATAGGAGAAAGCAGCATCGGTCACACAACTGATGTACAGGCATCTCCCTGTCCTAAGAATCTACACTGCAATGAGTGGCCTTTAACCAGATTACAACAGGAGAAGATTCCAAGTCCTTGAATTCCAGGGCAAGGAGAAGATTTATGTCCTTGAAATATTGGGCATTCACCAGTAACTGTGTTGATCACAACAACCTTTCATGATTATTGGAGGAACAACAAAGTGAGGTGGAGGCTGAAGGTAGATCAGAAGAAATCATATTTAGTTGTTCAGGTTTGAGAAGGCTTACATGCATCACAAGTTCAAAGTCTGGCCAGTGTTTAGACTGTCTCTCACACTGCCTGTCCCAAGCCCCATGCAAGCCAAAATGGGAAAGGATACAGTCTATGTAAATCTTCTGTCTGGAACCTGTGGAGATCTTGTAACAAGTCACTTTACATCCGCTCCTACAAACTCCAGCAAAGCCCTTAACTCAAAGCCTTAACTCTGCTCACTACCAGATGCAATACACGTTCTATCCCATCAGTGTTACCTCCTTGAAAATGGAAGCTGGGGGCTGTAAAGAGGCAGGGGAGCAAGGCCCTCTTTCATGCTCATTGTTTCTAATAACGTTACCATTCTGACAAGAGGCACCAAAAAATCCATTTGGGCAAAGGCATATATTTGGTTTAATACAGGATCCACCATTGAGGCACACCGGGTCACACACTGCTGCAAAAGGCAAGGAGAGGAGAGAGAAATAGATTACTTTTAACATAACATGGAAACATATAAACAAGTGCAATGAAGTCATTTCCATTCAGTTTTAACTCGCTTAACTGTGCCATATCAGCACAGAAATAACTGAAGTGGAATGTATTTGAAATTATTATTCAGAGGTAGGGATGTCACTTTTCCCAGGTAAAAAGGAAAACTAACATGCTTATTTGCACAGGTTGTTCACTTAAATATAATCACAAACAGAAAAGGCCTTTGGACTAGTTAGCACTGAGACTGTGATTAGCTAACAAACATTCTTCCCTGGAAGAACAAAACATTTAGCAACCAGGGTGTGGGTTGCCATCCTGTTTGAACTGGGTGCAATGACAGCCCATGGGTTCTGGGCTGACAACAAGCCACCCTGTGACCCAAAAAGCTGTGGCTTCAGAAGTAATCATGCAAATCCCCTCACCATGTGACCAGTAGGGGAATGGCTGATTTCCCCTCTGGGATCATGCAAACCAAGCTGCAGCAAGAGACAAGGAACAAATAAGCAAAACCCTAGTTGGACAGGCCAAGTGGCAGTCCTACCCACCATTTAAAACAGGGTGAGTGATAAACTAACATTGAAGTTATGCACAAAAGGAGTTCTACTCCCACCCAAAAAATACAGCAGGTCCTGCCTTCCTGGGATCCAGGGATGCAGAATCAAATGGCACCATAATTATTCAGGTGTTACTATTTGACCTTGACATCAGTAATTTCAGAGGCTACCATTTTAAAAAGCAAAGCTAAGTAGAGCTCTACCATGAGGATTGTATGGAAGTTGAACCCAACTGAAGAAATTTCTGGGGGAGTCAAGGCTTCCTCTCCACCCTAACCCTGGTCAATACAGGTGGCAACAATATGCAACTTTTGTACATTGAAGTTCACCATTTACAATATCACTGTGTGGTTTTCAGATTTTTTGAGCTATTTATGAGCTCTTGGTGGCAATATTACCCTAATGCAAAGAAATTTCCTTGGTTCCACTCTTTACCTGTGCTACATGTGGGTCCATACCAGCCAGTTCTGCACTGGCAGACATCTGGAGTAAGACATTCACCGCCATTTTCACAGTGCCTGTTGCAAACCACTGTATTGAGCAAAATTAATACATATATATTCAAAAGTTACTACAGAGCAGTTAGTTTTATAGCTGCAAAGCATCTGAATAACCCAGCTTGTCTCTAAATGTGTAATTACCATTTAATTTTCAGTAGCAAGAAAAACACAAGATACATATATAGGAAAGGTAATGAAGATTAACCCTGTTCTGGTACTTTGAAAAAGCAGTGTTTTCCTAGAGCATTTGAAGAGCGGTCACTTTGTGATTCCTTTCAAAAAAAAATAATTAAGGTCACATAAGATGGACCACAAAGTGTTAAAGAATGATCTTGAAAACAAGAGTGATGACATCTGAAAGGGAAAAAGTCATTTTACTGTAGGGGTGGCAAGCCTCAGATTTTTCTCTGTGTTGACAGAAGTTACAGCATTTTCATATTGTATTCTTCAGTCAGGACTATAGACAAGTGTAATGCTAATTATCAGCAAGTTTCACTATTACGGTGTATCTCATAAAAACATGTTCCTAACCAAAAAAAGGTTTACTTCATGCTGGCAGTGATGTCTGTCTCCTGGGGCTGCTATTAACTCTGAAGGATAGCCAGTTATCATAGTGGTCTGCACAATCAGTAAAGAAACATGCTATCATGGTACTTCCAGCCACCAGCAATAGTGGTGGCTGAAAGTACCACTATTCCACACAGGTGGACATGTAAACAGGTAAACAGAAGGAGAGACAAACTAACCAGAGCCAGCCTGGGAAGGATTGTGAATCTTAGACTGCAATGTTACTTTTGGAAGTCATGTACAGGATTGTACATTATTTTGAAAACAATGAGGAGAGGCAAGGACTTAGAGAAGTCCCTAACTTAAGTCCCACTGCTTTCTGTGAGATTATCAAAGTCTGGATCCAGCTCAAAATTCCAACCAGTCAGGTTAACCTATCAACCTCTCAGGTTCTTGGATATATCTGAAACATGCACAACTGATTCAACTGCCAGCTAAATTTCACTCTGGCTGATTGAGAAGGGTGTCCACAGATAAATCCATCAAGTGGTGTAGCCTTTTAGCAAAATGTCCATGCTAACGTTTGTGACAGCTGCCACCCAAAATCAGATATGTACTGTGTCTCTAATTTGGATGCATCTCGCTATACTGTGATCTGCTCTTTCTTTGATTCTCACATTTTAATTACTCACTTGTTTCACACCGTGGACCCACAAACCCATATGGGCAGGTGCAGAGGTTTCGAGTGAGACAGGTTCCTCCATGTTGACAAGGTGGATTACAATGTGCTGCAAGTAGAAAAGCAGCTTGTTCAAGAAATCGGCTCCAAAATGCCCATTAAAATCAAACACTTTGGAACAAGAGATCTCTGTGCAAATGATTTAAAATAGCCATCTTTTGAAATAAACAAGTAATGGTGCTTCCTGAACTATCAAAAACACGAAAGAACCAATTCCATCGCATACTATATCCAAGCAGAACAATTGGGTATCACTCAGGTGGAATCTACAGTGACACTACGTTGCTGGGATTTTCACTTCTGTACCAAGAACAAAATTGAATTCAAGAGCACTAGTTTGATGTCTAGAAAAGGTGTGGTGATGAGAGGTATGTTTCACTGCATATTTGTGCATTCAGATAATATATCAAAAGTTCTACCTTCAACATTCAACTACAGAATCTCTTGCATAGCCTTTCCCAAGGCATCTGAGAGATTCCGGCAGTTGCAGTCCAACACACTGGTGGGTAGAATTGCCCTAATTGTTGCAAAGCTGCACACATGAAGTGATACTGATACGATGGATCAGCGAGGTGTCTTTTGGGCAATACTTTTTACTTGCAAAAGATGCTTCATGAAGCTGTGACACTACATGGAAGATGGGATAAGGCAAAATAGACCAGAGGAGTATCTGGGGATGATGGATGTAAACACTGCAGCCTCCAGTTCCATCAGAGCAAACCTCTGGGCCAAACACATGGTGCTCAATGTTAGCCTGAGGTTGCAAGAGCTACTTCACAGAAGTTGCTGTTATGCAAATGTCCTCAGATCAAAGAATATCATTCTATAAGCTTCTGATTTTATGGGAAAGTTGTCTTAGATACCTCCTGGAAGGTGTGAAATAAGTAACTGACACCGACACCTTCTCAGGATTAGCATTTTTTCAGCACAATTCAGGAGATATTTTGCAGACAGTCCAGTTACCTTCATCACAGATGAAACCACTGAATCCTGGAAGACATGCACATATATTGGGCTTGATGCATCTCCCGTGGTTTTTGCAGTCTGGTCGACACAAAGCTGTATAAAAACAACACTGAATTCTTAGAAGTACGACTTAGGAGCATGGATTGCGGAGAGCAAATACAATATATATTACTCACCAGCCTGACAACTACGGCCAGAGTAGCCAGACTTACACCTGCACGTATTGGGTGCCACACACTCCATGTTCTTGCCACATCTATGTCTGCATATTGCTTTAAGAGAGTCAGGAGGGAAAGAAAATCAGTAGTCAGTCTACTCTAGCAGTCAACACATAACAGACACAATCAGCTAAAAGCCTCAGTCATGAAAATATGGAAAAGCAAATATGCTTTCAATCATTTCATGCAATTGCAATTCATTTCACAAAAATGTCAAGACGTTTGAGGAAATAAAACTGAAACCATTTTCTTTCTAGCCATTTTGCTATGTATGAACAGTTGCAGAAAGAGGAACACAAGCAGAAGGCAAAGGCCAGTGTGGAGCCCTCTGTATAACTTCTTTGCTGTGCTTCTAATCTTCCTAATAACCATTTTTCTCTAGATGGATTACAAGTGGTTAAAAGAACAAAAGGTACAGTCCTGCCTAATGGTGGGAGCCTTGTGCATTTTGTGAGCTGTCCCTCTAAAGTGGCATCATAAAACTGACACAAAAAGCTTTGCTAGAAACATTATTGTGTTGCAATGACATTGCAAAGGGTTATAATAGGTATAGTAGGTTATAATAGTCATACCTCTGCAAATTATCCCATCTCCATAATAACCAAAGGGACAACGGCCACATCTGAAGTCCCCCCTTTCATTTGGTCCACAAGGAACCCCAGGGAAACAGGGTGAATCTGCACAGGTTAATAAGTGTGGGGCAGCTGTTGCAACTACTTTTTGATCTGTGCTTGGCATAGCAAATCTCTCAAAGGTAGACCATACAGTATCATCTTGACGTGTGCCAAATGGCCTTCCTCTGGGTTTTTTCTTTGTTGCCAGTGTCCTATTGATCATGTTAGCTTTGCTGCTCAATGTTATGCCGGCCTCGAGGGGAAAATAGGTCTGGTTTTGTGTCTCCGTTGCTTTCCCAGGAGAGTCTGTGCTATTTCTCAGTGATGTGTCAGAAGCAGAGTTTACAGCTAAGTCTTTCCATGCATTGACAGAATGGATGTTTTTGGTAGTGACACTTAATGCATAATCAGGGTATCCTCTGCTAATAGGCTTTCTAAAAGCTGTTCTCTGTGAAATGAACACATTTGGAGATCTGGCCAACTGGGCTGCAGCAGTTGATGGAGTGCTGGTGGCTATTTCTGAGGAAATGAAACTTTTGGGAGCATCTGTAGGATTACGGAGGATGTTTGTGGAAGCAGTTGACAGTTGCAGGAAACCTGCCAAAAAACAGAGAAGGTGGAACAAATAGCATTATGATGAGATTTACATTTCAAGAAAACTACTCTTAAATCAGTAAAAGCAGCCTAGTCCAGTTCTTCATTGCTTCTTGCTATGGCATACAAAGCATACATATAAGGTTAAATCCTAACAAATACTCCCAAATCTATTCAAATAACTTAGAATTATCATGGATCGTCATAAAATCTGCTGCAAATATTTTTGGCATTTATTTATCATCAATATTGTGCTCAAGAGTAAAATGTGGAAGAAGTACGGTCCTCATGATGTCCATCACAGAAACAGTGTTGGAAGGGCCCCCAAAGATTAAACCCCTACCAATATAGGAAAACTATGAAAGCAGCATCCCCGATAGGTGGATCCAGCCTCTACTAGAAACCTCTAAAGAAACAGGGCACTACAACCATCTTAAGGTAGCCAATACTATCAGAAGTACCTCTTAATATATGGCTGAAATTTTCATTCAACCAAGACCATTGCTTTTGGCATTTATTCATGTATTACATTTCTATTCCACCTTCTCCTCCAAGGAACTCAAGGTGACACTTCTCTCCATTTGATCCTCACAACAATCCTGTGAGGTGAGCTACACACACACACACACACACACACACACACGGGAAGTTTATCCAATTAAATAATTGCTTAAGACCCGCACAATCATCTGGTGGCAGATCTGTTTTTCCAGATTGTCTGAATTGGGGGTTGAGGAAAGCTACTAAGGAGAAACAGATAACTTTAAAGAGGTTTTGAAGAGAATAGGATAATGGCTAGACAGAAAGTTCATCTAGTTAAATCAAAGCAGCATGCAGAAGGACACAAAGCCAGAAAGTGTCATAGCATGGAATTTGGTTTGCAAGCCGAAGGGCCAAATTCCATCCCTGTCATTTCCAGTATGATTGGAAATGATTTCTGTCTGAAACAGAACCAGATGGACCTGACTTAATATTGGATTGCTTTCTATAGTCTAGAAATGGCCTATAAACAGTTCTCAAGGCCACCAATCAGAAGTAAGTCCAATAACAAAAGCAGCAGCAACAAATATTCTTTAATGGCTTCTCTATTCAATGAGTGCTTGAGATGATTTACTATAATTAAAAGCATTAACATTCAAAACAAAACTGAGCTTGACACATACATTACAATGAAACAGGGGAACCCTCTAAAATCTAAGAGCGGCAGTAATGACAAAACCTCTGGTGGAACAGTATAGTTTTACCAGCTGCCTAACGATCAAAAAAAGGGAGCCAACCCTTGGAAGGAAGCGTTCCACAACCAAGGTGCTACCACACAAAAGTCCCTGCCTTGATTCCCCACAAGCAAGAGTTCTCTAGGAGTCAGTTTCTTCCATCTTCCATTAAGAAACACATATAAACAGCACACATACCAGAGACATTTCCATCACTATGGCCACCAGCAATTGTGTATCCTTGACCAGCACTCAGACTTTCATCCATTTTCACTCCATGATGGTCTTCATTTTGGCTATATGCATTTTCTGGAATTAAGAAAAAGAACCTTACTTGTTTATTTTATTTCAGCTATAGCACGTATAAACACACTTCAGATCAAGTGGACAGAAAGCAAGGAGAGCTCATTGAAAGACCAGCTGTAGAGCTACAAAAAGGTTGTTTGGAATTTTGGAACCGCTCGGCCGTCACCAAGGCTTTCCAACTGCTGGCCTCCAAGATACTATGTCTTTCACAGATTGCACATATAAATACATAATTGGCAGTTGTTCACAAGGAAAAGCTATCACATACACACAGCAGCTTCTCAATGTTATCCTATTTTCCTCTCTTGGAAAGCATAATTTCCCACCCAACTCCTCGTAAAACTATTGTTGCAAACTAGCTGCAGGATCTGCAGAGAGAGGGTGAGGGCAGTGGGTTTTCAGACATCCAGCTACCCACCAACTTGACTTTCTCTCTTTAAGGTCCCATGTCATTACTTAGGCCTTGCTCTATTGTAACCACCTGGAGATGCTATTACAACAGCGGTTCTGCATGGCATTTTCCAAAGTGTAATCCTGTAATAAGTGTAGTTTCCCTTTGGAAATTGGGAACTTCTGCTGAGAAGTGTTCAGGGAGTACCTGCTGTCAAAGTGTAGCAATACCAACACAGGACAGTGTCTGAAAATGACCCCAAATAGGGTTGTTCCTTATTGTGCTTTCTCTTCACAGCTGTCAAAAGGCAAGCTGTCAAGGGAAGAAGAAGCAGGAGCCATTTTTACCCATGAAGAAGAGGTAGTGAAATGTATGCCCTCTTTCTGGTGAGAATCTCATCTTTTGCTTTTTTGCTTTTGGCATTCTCAGGACGCTGTATATTTTGCACTTTTCCCTGAGGCTCTAGTTGCTCAGGAAAGCACAAAAATGCATCCATTAAGATCAGGTCCCTAGCACCCATGATGTGGTTGGTTGACAAGGTTTAGATGACCTGACATCCTATCATGGGTACAACACAAGCCATGGGTTGTTGGGGGATGTTGTTGCTCATAAGGAAGCCACCCTGCAAGAAACAAACCCAGGTTCACATGACATGTCAACTCAACATGGTTTGTTACTCATATGGGATTGTCATGGTATGTGAATCCCATTAAAACCTTTTTCCAGAGTACTCTCTTTTCAAGGCGTAAAAAGTATCATTCTCCAAATATCCACAAGTAAATAAACTTCTATAGTTATATTTGGAAAGCAGATATCCATGACAAAATTTCGTATTTGCCAGTTTTCGTAGAAGTACATGTTTGTCATTTCATATAGAGTGTTGCAAAGTTGATTATCACTTCTTGCAGATATTATGTGATCCGATTCAATTACCTTTGTTTCAGTTTTTTTTTAACTGCAGCCTTCCCAACCTGGTGCCCTCCAAATAGCAAAATATCTGGAGGGCTTTGGAAATATTAACATCAACTTTGTCACACTCACAAAACTTGAAATAATTTGAAATACAGTTTATGCAAGTAGGTGCCATAATCCATGAGACAAGGGCTGTGGATGAATGACAATGTGTCGTTTTGGAACATGATATCTACAGATGGATGGCTGCTTGCTTATGATATTTACCTGTGTTCGTTTTCATATTGGTGAAACCTGCTGTCAGGAAAGAAATTCTTGTCAAGGTTTATTACAGGGACAAAATCAGTGGGGCCATTACTGCCTGGACACAGTCATGCTGTGCCATCTATTTATATCCAAGGCTACCCACGATTTGGGCATGCCTAGTGCGACAAACACAGCACCAGTGCTTGAGTAAAATGCAAAAAAATCACACTTCTATATGTAAAAAGTACATCTCTTACTATAGCATATTTTCCCATCTCCATACAGGCCTTCTGGACATGGGCCACAATGGTAGGAATCGATCGTATTAAAACAAACTACTCCTGGGAAGCATGGCTTGGATTTGCATTCATCAGTATCTTCTTGGCAATGTCTACCTAAAGAGAAATAAAGACATTCATACACACCAGAGGCCTTTCAATGCCTTTCCTCTCTCCCTTACCAGCAGCTCACTAAACAAAAACACCGCAAATAACTTAGAATGGAAAATAATATAGGGGGTCATTGTTTAGCCTTTGGCAGAGAGTACTCCTGGGTTTTCTGGAAATAAAAACCCAGGTGTTTGTGTTTAAAGCTGCAATGCTGTATGCACTTAGCAGGGAGCAAGCACCATTGAATTCAATGGGACTTGCTTCTGAATAGACACTGCTAGGGCTGCAACACATTCATAATTCTTATGCAATTTTCCACTGTAATCTAAAACCCCAGCAAGCATGAAGCCAACTCCTGCTCTCTTGCTCACCAGTTTTAACAAGACCAGGTAGCTGCATGTGAAGATATAGCTCCATAAGCAATACTTAGAAAATATTTGTTCAGCTTAAATAAATACCACAGCAACTGAATCTTGAAATCATGCATGTAATTGAATTATTGCTATGTAAATTCAGAGTAAGTGACAATTCACCCTGAAGCCCAGATGTACATTCACAGTGGAAGCTATTTATGCCATCAAAACATCTGCCAGGACCACAGGGGCTGAATGCACAGTCATCAGTGTTCACTTGACAAAGGTCACCTTCAAATCCTGGCAGGCAGACACACAAATATTTCCCACTTCCAGGGGGGAAATTAGTATTTGTCACACAAGTTCCACCATTTAAACAGTCACATGTTTTCACGCTGACCTACAAAACATACCCAATGCACAGCAGGTTATTACTCATGAACCAGAAATCCCATTTGTTATGGGGCTTTATTGCTGAATTATAGCAATTTGCTACTTGACCACAATAGTTATTACCTCTATTACTGCTTTGGTTTCAGCGCCGCACTCATCTGTCACAGAAAAGGCAAATTTCTGAGCATTTTCTGACACTGCCTTCCATATCAGCAGTCCAGCAGGAGAAAGACGGCCACCTGGGGGACCAGAACTCAGCGAGAAAGCAACAGCCGAGCCTTCTGGGTCCGTTGCTGTGAAATGATACACAAAAGTCTCCCCATGAAATGTCTGAAGCCTGGCTTGCATGTTCTGAAACACAGGAGGCTGGTTGCCTGCAATGAAGAAGGGCACTGTGGGAACTCAGAGGAATGGCTGCAATGAAGAAAAGAACTGGGCTGCTCCCTCTCCACCCTCTGGTCTTCTTCAGATGCTTGGTTGTCCATACAAGGGTCCCACTCCGACTGTGTACAGTCCTTTGTTTTATCCCATCTAGTGCAGCACAGATATTGCTAGACTACAATTGCCATAACTGGCTACACTGGCTGGGGCTGATGGGAGTTAACCTGTAAAGCACCTGCAGAACACTCTGTTGGGGAAGACTGCCATAAATGCTATTCAACCAGTGTTGTGAAAAACACGCTAACAGCCAAGTAAGCAATGGGTACTAGCCATTCAATAAATATACCCATCGGAACTGCATACATCACAGAGGAAAATGGTCCAAGTTCATCAGGAAATAATAAACCCATGATGACATCTCAGCGTTATTGTATAGGCTGTTAGGAACAGAAGGCTCTGATGCAAGCAAATCAGCAGCTAGATGGTGAATTTCGCCTGATGCTGTGCCCTTATTTTTCACAAATGGGTTAACACTCCTGAATGTGTGAAGGGGAGATGTGCTGCTCCAACACACTCATGGCGCAAGTAACTAATCAAACAGCAAAACAAGGAAATTTGCCTAAGGCACAATAGTTTGCATCTTTAGAAGCTGAAAAAGTCTACAGCCCCCAGCAAGCCTGGCCTAGGTGATTTGATCATGCATAGGATCACACCTGTAGGCCATGGATGGGGATCCTATAGCTGCCTCTCAGTATGTGTACAACGTTCTGGAGGTGTTTCATCATTTTACAGTTTATGGCATTTGCACTGTAAACATCCATGGAAACATGGAAAATGCATTTGATATGTACACTCTGAAAAAGTAATTCATTAGGTTTGACTGTTAGAGCAGATCTTCGTACCTAAGTAAAACTTACTTTCAGCAACTGACCAAGTTAGTTCAGATATTTCAGGTCTGCAGAGCAAGCAGGAGCTGGCAGGATTTATGTCACCTTCACCATAACAAATTCCATCTATGTTACATGTCTTCTCCTTCACAGAAACAACATCATTCATTAAGACTCTAGATGATTTTTTTTCTGTCTCTTCCAAGATGTATTAATGTGCCCTAAACTGTCAAAAACTGCAGCCTGGTAACTACTCTTACATTTTCTCCATGTAAATTTTGCATGCTTTGGAGAGAATTCACAACTTCTGACAGGTGTGATCTCCAAAATCCTCTGCTGTGCAACTATCACCAAGATGAACAAAAGTGGCTACAAACCAGAGTATGCCTGTCACTGATTCTCATTCCAAAGGGGTTTCAGGAAATCCTTTATAGAAAGCACCATAAAGATCAGAGGGCCCTGTTGAAATGTCTGTTTGTCATTCCAGTTTTTGTTCCTGCAAAAAAATTCCCTATGATAACCTCCAGTTCTGGGAGGATTTTGAGTCATATCACTAAAATGTATGAGGTATACTGCTCTGCTGCAGTCTAGGAATTTATGCTGTAATCCTACACACATTAACCTAGAAGTATCCTGCACTGAGCAGAAGGGGCACTTGCTTCTGAGTAAATACACATAGGATTTTGTCGTTTAAATGTACTTTTTTGTGAAAAGAAAATGTACTCTTCACTACTCCAGAGGTTGCCTGTATCCTGTGCAGCAGGATATAAACATTACAAATAAGTACACGTATGTTTATTGCAAAAATGTGGTTTAAATATACCTAAATAAGTTTTAATTTTAATGTAATGTTATGAGGTTTTATTATTTTAATTTATGTAGTATTTTATTGTATTTATTATTGTTTTGACTTCTCAGAGAGGTTTGGCTATTGGGTGATTTAGAAATTAATTAAATAGTAGAAGTAATAGTAGTAATAGTAATTCATGCTGGCTACAAGCTAACATAATAGCATCTTTCGGCCAAGGACAAGCTTAGAAAAATGTCTCCTTTCTAAAGACATTCTGCATGCCTGAAACATCTCACTGATGGTGTACAGCATATAGCTTCACAGTTAATTTGTGAACTTCCATGAAACTCTGTTTTAATAGTCATGCTGGGGGAAGTGGTCCAAATTTGTGCCATGTGAGAACCCAGCATGGCTTGTCATCTATAGCCAGTTGCCTTGCCGTCAGGCTACAGTATGCCTGCGAGCCTTAAAGGTTTAGGTTTCCAAACTTTCCTGAATCACTGGCAGCTCCAGGATTCCTCTGGCAGAGAAGGAAGGATTATGCTTTGATGCTTAGCACTTGAGATAACATGCAGCTGATATTTTATTGGGAGAGTACAGCTTTTGATAAATGTCTTTTGAAAAATAAGGAATTAGGACTAGGGTACACTATGTTGAAAGAAAATAAAAGAAATACTTGCCTTTAACATGCATAATCCATCAGATTGTGGATCACATATCTGACAAACTCCATCAAATAAAGTCACTGCTTTAGGGTTGCTATAAGTGAACCCATCATTAGAAATCTGTTTAGACATACAGCAATAGTTCCAAGGGTTATGCAACATACAGAATGGGATTATGGAACATTAGTCATTGTCATTGAAACCATTTAGGTACTTCCCTTAAGTGGAATGTCCAGGACAGTTTACAAAAACAAGATAAATATACAAATAAAACATAACACTATGTTAAAAAAAGAGTGATAGATGCATTGCGTACAATAAAAAGCCTTGGGGAATAAAGATGTCTTTGCAGGGCACCAAAAAGGATAACAACGTTGCTGCCAGGCTGGCTTTCTAGGAGAATCCTGCGCAGCTGGTGCCACCACTGTGAAGGCTCTCTCTTTCTCTCTGATAACTACCCATCATAGCAAATATAGAGAGGGAACCTGGAAGAGTCCCTCTCAGGATTGCCTCAATGCATGGGTAGACCTATCTAACCCAGTGCCCTCCATCTATTCCCACTGACAGCAGTTATCCAGGATCCACACTGGGATTAAGTCGGAAATCTCTGCCATGAGAGTATGTGTTCTACCACGAAGCTTTAGCACCTCCCCATACACGAACCTATTCACCAATTACGTTCTTCAGATAAAACCCTGATGCAGCACCTAACGCCACTGTAATATGAAGAAGAACATTAGCTGGGGTACAGCACAGAGCATAGCCTTTATGGTGGTAGCACCAAGCATGTGAATTCTTTCTTACAAGAGAGCAACAGTTCAGAAGGAATTACAGAGTGCTGTTATGAATACAGCCCCACAAACATTATTTTTTGGAGTGTATTTTTTCATACTGTGAATCTTTACACGTTAGTAAGGCTTTGTAATTTGTTCTATTTTGTTCTGCTTCCAGTTTGGAAAATGAGGCAGGCAAGTCTGGTATGGTGGTGGGAGTGCTGAACTGGGGGGACTGGAAGATCTGGGTTCTAGTTCCCACTCAGACCTGAAGCTCACTGGATGACTTTGTCCCAGTCAGAGGCTCTCAGCCCAACCTTCCTCATGGGGTTGTTGTGAGGACAAAATGGAGAAGCAGTGGACAATGTCAGCTCCTTTGGGGTTTTTTGCAAAAGGAAAAATCTTTGGCTATAATTGCCATAACAACTAACTAATAATTTGTTAAATTAAGTAATAATAACAACTTGGCTGCTATATAAAATAAATCATAAGAGGTTACCTTGATTTGCCACCTTGCAGTGGGCTGGTTATTCAATAGGTTCATAGGATGAGACTGCTGCCCTTCAGTGGGAAGCTGGCAAGACACGGTCCTGGTGTTGTGGAAGGCAGCAGGGAAGAATACAGATTCTCCAAGCACCCATTTGTTATCACTGTACTGGATTAAAGGGCCAAAAAGCCTGCTTTACTTAGACCATGCACAAGAAGTTACCCCAGGAGGAGCAGTAATATTTGTGTTTTGCTGCTGACACGACAATGAAATGGCAGCACTAATGGAAAATTAAGAAGAGATTTAAGTGCTGTGTAATTACCCTGCAGTCATAGTAACAAGTTCTGTCCTGAAAGTGACAATGGGCTGAATATGTCACAGGAGTTCTGTGCTACCCTGAGGTACACTCCTAAGACTGGGTAATGATAGATGAATGGAAACTCCTCCTTGGCTCCATCAGGAAGGCCAGAATGCAATGTAATGAGAGCTAGTGTAGTGGTGAGAGGGTTGCACTGGGGATCTAGGAGATCTAGGTTCTTCTCTCCACTCAGCAATGAATCAATGGGCAACTGTGGGCCAGCCATGGACTCTCAACCTACCTCCATACCCAAATACCTCCTCACCAAATAGAAGGTATTCCTTGACAACTCAGAGTTCAGGAAAAACTGTAGGACTCTGAGGATAAGTCACTGATTGAAAATAATTTGACCAGACGTGGTTCCTTTTAAGCTTAACAATCCGAAGTGAGAATAGTTGATAACTCCTACATCTTCACAGGTGTCCTGAACAAAGCCCCAGTTCCTCAGGATGGAATAACATCCAGGACACAACAACTTGCAATAGTTGGGGGACAATCCCATGTACGTTGAGATGGAAAAGTGTCCTACAACTCCCAGCATGCTGCAAGCCAGGTATTTTGGGAAGTGTAGGCCAATTTAGGAATTAAGAGTCCTAAGAGTTTTTAGCTCCTCCAGATTAAACAATCTGGGGGAACAAAATGGGGAAACATTTGGCAGAACAAATGCCTTAAAAAATTAGGGCCAGTTAGGGAAGGATTGCTTATACCAATCACAGATCTCTGGACGTCACATCTAGTTATAGATAAGGGGAATGTCTTTCTTTTGTGTTGCTGCCTGCTGGCTAGAGTGTACACCAAAATAGTTTTGGTATGCTATACCCAAGAAACATATTTTATCCAAAACCTCTGGCAGAGCAGTTCTCATGTATCATTTTATTCTTCCTCAATTGTCCATCCATAGCCAGCTGGGTGGAACATCCATCAGATAATGAAATTAACAGAGGCACGTCCACGTCCTGTTTCAGAATTCCTGATCAGCTAAACAACAGAGGCTACAACACAGTAACTTCATTAGTTAACTTCATTAACTTCAAAATGTCAGAAAGTACTGAGAATGCTTCCAGCCTACTAGGCCAGTGTTGGGTGGGCACAGCGAAAAAAGCCCAATTTGTACTTCGTCAGCTGGAGCTGAGGAGGAGTTACACATCCATGCAGCAACATTCCAGGCATATCTACTCAGAAATGGGTCTTGCTGTGTTCAATGGCGCTTTCTCCCAGAAAGATGTGTGTAGGATAGAAGCTTTAATTAGGTTAGACTATGCTGTACCTGAACAGAAAGATGTCAGGTTGTGCTGGAGGGTTTGTGACAACATGAAACCAAAAGGGAAAGGTGCTAAGCAGAAGCAGTGAGCCAGAAGGAAGGAAAGAAGGAGAAGGTGTTCTCAGACATGCCAGGTTTGATTCAGACCCATCATGTTTTAGAAACAAAATATCCTTCTGGGGTAATTGGCAACTTGAAAAGGTGAACTCCTTGGTTCTCCTATTGACGGAATTAAACTTGGCTTGCAATGAGAACAGTTTCTCTCTTGCTCATTTGTTCTCCCTCTGAGACAGTATCAAAACTAGGAGTTAGAATGAAGGGAGCTGAAGAACTCACTGCAATTTTTGCCTGCTCAGTAAGAAGTTTGAAGGCAGGAGATCAAGATTGCTGCTTTTATAACAAAATAAAACAAATATCCTTGTAATGAGTGAGGAGTGAGACAGGTCAAACTGTGATAAGTGAACTCCCAATAATTGTCTCACTAGGAGTTTGATCGGACAGGCTTTTAACTTAATGGAGTGTGTAAATGTTCTGTTGACTTTCTCATTTGAAACTGACTTGAGGATGGGGGGAATCCAAGTTGAGCTCAAGGAAAATCCATAACCCACATTGTAAGAAAACCTGCCAAAATAACCTCAGCTCAACATCAACCAGACCTAGTCAAGAATAAAAGGATTCACTGGGGAAAAATGGTTTTCTGCTGAATAGATGTAGAAAAGGAATTTCTAAAGGGATAAAATTATGACATACTATAGCTCTTCAATTTCAGAAGATACACTAGTTTCAGCTTGATTAGCTGAGGCTTTTCAACACTAGCTGATCCATCCAACAATCTGGCTAAACTCCAGCTTAAGCTATTGCTTTCTTCCTAACAAAATGCTCCTGTATTTTCTACTTGCAGTATTAATATCCAGTGGGCATAGTACGAAGCATGTCCCTACACATTATGTATCCCATCATGGGTGCAAAGTTGTGGGTCAGCTACACAGAGATGTTCACCCTACCCATAGGATTGGCACTGTGTTGTGGAGTAGGTGAAATCAGCTGCCAAGCAAACTTCATCCAAGCTCCTGTGTTTGCAATCCTGTAGTTGCGGTCTGATCATGATCTGGGGTGAGCTGATATCACATGAGGTCTAGAATGGTGCAATGCTGAAAGGTTCATGAGTGAGAGGAACGTGTGTACACCTTGCAGCCCTTCATCCCATCCTACACTGGAGCTTTTTCAGGAAGATGCAGCTGCAGCCAAACTCTGCTTATTACTGGGATCCCCAGAGAGTTTGACTCTGGACATATTGGAATCTACTGGTGTATCTGCTATGTTCCAGAAAATTGCCATGTTGAGACAAGTTCTATTACTTGTGTGCAGATGCCTCCAATGCACTGCATGAATTGCACTGGAATAGGTAACTAAAAGCCTCTATTTCTCCATGGCAAGGTTTGGTGTCTCATCCAGGTTCAGCATCACCACCTAGAAAGGCGGTGCATCTCAAAATGTGCATCTCAAAATGTGTTGGAATCAAGACTAGAAAATCAGCTTAAAGGAAGCAAGAAGCTGTACCCAAAGCTGGCTCAGGAAATTTTGCTCCCCAAGGGAAAGGATAAATTCCACATCTGCTCCTTTCCACATACAGAAATCAATCAGACTTGAGAGCTAGATCTGATAGTGGCAGTAGGGCAGCATTTCACTCTGCCAGTCCAGGTTTCACCCACCTGTAGTTTGCACAGGACTTTCCATTTTGTTGCCTTTGCACAGGGACAAAAGTACAGAATGCAAAATGAAAAAACAATCCTCCTACCACACTGAATGGGGGTTTTCACATCCCTCCATCCTATAGGCTGTGATCAGCTTATACGGACCCAACAATTTTGTCTACCTCCTAAGAAGCCTATGGAGGAAACAGCGTGGGGATGATGGGCATACAGAATAGGCACATCTTATGATTCTGAAAGCCTGAAAACTGGTGAAGGTCCAATGTTAGTTTTACTATGCAAATAAGCCACCTGAAATTTGTTAATTTCACATCTGAGGCTTGGCGAGTCCATGAAGCCATGGCCAAAAGCTCTTACAGTTGTGCAGTCATACTGCCGGACATCACATAATCCTCCATTATCCAGCTCTGTAATTTCTGGAACCTGAAAACCTTGAAAGGCAGAACATGGAACATGGAATCAACAGATGGTTTCTTCAAGCAAGCACTATAAACAACCATGGTAAATAGCAACAAGAAAGCTTGCAGATTTGACAAATATAGCACCGCAAGAAATCTGGGCAAAGAAATTGATGTCGGTATATTTTGACATAAAAGCTTCTTGAAGCTTTACTTGTGTTAATTGATGTACTAACAAGAGTAAAGCTCTTGTTAATTGATATTCTAGTTAATTGATATGCTATAGTGCAGTGATGGCAAACCTCTTAGAGACCGAGTGCCCAAACTGCAACCCAAAAACCACTTATTTATTGCAAAGTGCCAACACTACAATAAAACCTGAAAACTGAGGTTTTAGTTTAGAAAAAACAACACGCAACCAGCCTAAGCAAATATATATTTATCCTTGGCAGTGCACAGACCAACCATGCAAAAGCTCAGATGAGTCGCGGTTAATGAGTCGTGGCTTGTGATGTCATTGCCTGGTGCCGCTACTCCTTTCCGAGCATGCGCATGGCCCCCATATGAGCTGTTATCCGATGTTCGGCAGCAGGGGTGATGCTGGGGTGACATGGCATGTATGCCAACAGAGAGGGCTCAGCATGCCCGCTGCAGCGGGCGTGCCATAGTTTCACTACCACTGACCTAGCCCTACCCTGGTGCACACCCCTAACCCTAACATAGGGTGAAGATTCCATTAAAAAGAGGGTAATTTTGAAAAACCATTCCTTGATTAGCTTTTCCTGCACAACTCAACATTTGTGCCCATTCTGAACACATTGCAACCATCAAAATCATGCCAGGACACCTCGTTTTCCTAACCCTAACCCTACCCTGGTGGACTCCCCTAACCCTAATATAGGGCTAAAATACCATTGAAAAGAGGGTAATTTTGAAAAAGCCTTCCTTTAGTAGCTTTTTAGGCACTGCTCATCATTTCTGCCCATTCCAAGCACATTCCAAGCATCCAAATCATGGCAGGACACCTGATTTTTCCAACCCTAACCCTATCCTGGTGCACACCCCTAACCGTAATATAGAGAGAAGGTTCCATTGAAAAGAGGGTAATTTCGAAAAAGCCTTCCGTGAGTACTTTTTCTGCACAGCTCATCATTTCTGCCTATTCTAAACACATTCCAACCATCAAAATCATGCCAGGACACCTCATTTTTCCAACCCTATCCCTACCCTGGTGCACACCCCTAACCCTAACATACACTGAAGGTTCCATTAACAAGAGGGTGATTTTGACAAAGCCTTCCTTGAGTAGCTTTTACTGCACAGCTCATCATTTCTGCCTATTCTAAAAACATTCCAACAATCAAAAACATGCCTGGACACCACATTTCTCTAACCCTAACCCTACTCTGGTGTACACACCTAATCCTAATATGGGGCTGAAGTTCCATTGAAAATAATGTGATTTTGAAAAAGCCTTCCTTGAGTAGCTTTTTCTGCACAGCTC